ACCAGGCCCGCAGCCAGGATTTTTTTTTTTTACTTTGGGGGGGCATCAAATTTTTTTAGAATGCAACTAAACCTAATTAAAGTTGATTAAACCACAGTTAATCTTATTACCTTCTACGCCCCTTCCCGACCCTTTAAAATGGAGCGAAGCAAAAGCCACACTGCCTGCAGCCAATGTTCCCTCTAAGATGTGGAGTCTTGTGAGCAAAAATTCTACTTTGTGAGCTCCTGGCATTAAAGCTGTGAGCGAGCCATTTGCCTACTGAATAAATTAGTTTGCTCTGGAGCCATCCTTCCTGAGCGAGGACAAAAATGTGTGAGCCAGAGGCTAAAAAACTGTGAGCCAGCTCACACTAACTCAGCTTAGAGGGAACACTGCCTGCAGCTCTCCCTCCTCCCCAGCCCCATATCCTGCTTGCAAGCATTCTGGGCAAGTTAACAGCCCGGCCTCCCACCTCGCCTCACCTCGGATCGCAGGAAGGCTGCTGGAGCTATTGAAAGGCAGGTCCTCTTGGATGAACAGGCATGGGGACAAGAGAGGGATCCCTCACTCCCCTTTGAAGCCTGAAAGCGGGCCTGCCCCTGCAAAGGGCGGCCCCCACCCCCGGCACAAACCCTCCTGGTGCTGCCTTGGGTCTGACTGTGGGAGAAAAGTGGGGGAAGGAAGGAGTCGTGCTTCCAGTGGCGGAACGACGGGTAGCCACCTCTGTCCTGCAAGGGAAGGAAGGGTCGGGGTGCTGGGTTTTTTCCAGGCTTCTCAAGGCATGGAGGAGGGGCAGTGCTCTGCCCAGCCTGAGCGAGGCGCCCCCACCACTTTCGTTTCCACAGACAGCAACAGCATGGCACCGACTCTCCCCGCCCTTGGCTGCCCCACAGGGAACAGGAGATGTCCACGCTGGCTTCTCTTCCCCGGCCATCATTCCCCAGGAGAGGGCACGGAGGGCAGCCAGAGAGTGAATGTGTCTAGTCAGCAAGTGGGCGGGTGGTGGGGCAGAGAGGGGTCTGCAGGAGCTGCTGCCCCTTCCCTTCGGGTGTGGGCCTCCCTTCTAGGGGTCCCAAATCCCCCCCGGGGGCGGAATTCCCCCCGGTTTCGAGCCCCGATTCCCACTCCCGCAGAAACCCCACCCCCGCACGTGCGTCACCCGGAAGTGACGTCACACACTGGGGGCGGGACAACGCCATTTGAGGGGAAAAGAAGACGCCAGCCGGGAGCCCCCTGCTCCCGGCAAAAAGTGAGTTGGCAACCCTACTCCCTTCCGAGCCCAGGCCCCCGTCCCCACTGAGGGCACTGTGGACGCGCATGGTTGAAAACAATAGTACTACTTGTGAGTCGTAGGAGGCGGGAAGACTGCCAGCTGGCTAGTTGGCTCCTGGGCTCGGCTCTGCGCGGGTGTGCCTGGCTTTAGGAAAACCTTTTTAAAAGAAGACGGGAAGAAGAGATTGGATTTATACCCCGCCCTTCATTACCCGAAGGAGTCTTAAAGGAGTTTACAATCTCCTCACCCCTCCCCTCCCCACAACAGACACCCTGTGAGGTAGGCGGGGCTGAGGGAGCTCTTTCAAAGACTGCTCTTGGGAGGACAGCTCTGAGGGAACTTGTGACTGACCCCAGGTCACACCAGCAGCTGCATGTGGAGGAAGGGGAAATCAAACCAGGTTCTCACAGATTAGAGTCCGTGCTCCTAACCATTACACCAGAAGGCTGGGCAGGGCACAGCCACAGTGACTCGCAAGTCTCAGGAGGAGGGAGGAGTGCCAGCTGGCTTGTCACGACCTGGGACCTAGGCTTGGCACGCTGCAGTGCAGGCCCACCCGATTTTAAGAATTTTTTTAAAAGGATAAAAAAAGGTTTTCTTTGATGAAAACTTGTGGGGTGGGGCCTGTAATTAAGGGGGCAGAGCCCCGAAATGCCCCATCGTAGCTAGCAGGCCAGAGTGAAAGTGTTTTACGGGCTAACTTTAATCTCTGGTATGTCAGGACACGAATGATTAGGATGGGCCCTGCCTATAGCTGCACTTGTGCACTTGCTTGCCGTTATGAAGCATGGCATTATGAGACTAGATGACATGTTCAGCGCAAAGCCTGGTGCTGTTCCTGTATCCAGGGTTTCCAGGATACACAAATACAATGACAACAAGAACAGAAGTACACAGGAGCAAGGTCTACAAACTGGTCCAGAGTCAGATATCCAAAGGTCCAATCCAAGGGTCAGGGTAGGAGGGTCAAGGGTCCAGGGGTCCAGGTCCAAGGCTTGGGAACAGGGACAGGATACAGGGGTCTGGCTCCCAGGCTTCAGGAGCAAGCACAGATTACCAGAGTGAAGATACAAAGCAGCCTTGTAGCTTTTTTCATGGGGGGGGGTGCAGAGGGGGCATGGTGGCTAATTTAATCACCAGAGCTAATTGCATGCTCCAGCCAGTAAGTTAAGCAGGTCAGCACAGGCAGCCACCAATGGCCAACTAGTACTTGGAGATGTTTTAAGCTCCCACCCGGATCCTCCTTCCATCAAAATACCAAACTTTTTACGTGGGGGGGAAGTTTTACTTGGGAAAAAAATGGATGCAACTTCCTCCCATGGGGTATGTTTTAAGATTGGAGGGCAATCTTGGCTGGTCTTCAGTGTTTGTTCAGGAGTCAGGAGGTTCAACCCACATTTTATGGTGTTTAGAATCCTGGTCTCTGATCCCTGGAGCTTCCCTCCAAACCGCAGTGCACTTTCACATTACAGCCAGGCAGACCCTGTCCTGGGTGCTGCTGGGGGCCAGGCCTTTTGCATTTGCTGGGGATGGGGGCAGAGTCAGCTGTGTTGGTGCCAGGCACATGCTGCTTCCCTGCCCACTCTCACTCAGTTGCTCTACTGGCTGGCCAGCTGCTCTTGCCACTGCCTTCCCGACCAGCACCCCCAGGCTCCCTCCACCCCAGGGAAGATTGGGGGTTCAGGGCAGACCCTGTTGCCCCCAGGGTCCCCAGAAGCTATGGGCTTGGGTACAAGGCTGCAGGGTCAGGGTATAGCTCTGTTTGCTAAACAGCTCCGTGCACAGAGGGGTGGCAAGCAAGGTTACTTCCACACAGAGTCTTGCTCAGCATGTTCCTTTTTTCTCCACCTTTTTCTGACTCATCCCCTGAGGGCCAGATATTGCCCCTTACAGTTGCATTCACTATCCTACAGGTGCAGTCTTTTATTGTTTCCCTATCAGCCTGCCACTCCTGGTTCTGCAAGTACTCCACTCAAGGAACTAATGCTGACCATTGCTGAGCAACCAAGTGGGTGTTCCTATGTCTCTCCTGAGCCACCAAATGATCTCTTTTTCTTCTGTGCTCTACTGGCTCAGGAGAGGCTGGTGGGGATTCTCCTAGAAGATCAAGCAGCTCAACCATGACTGGGAAGCATTCTCGCTTCCCAATGCTTCCCCCATTGGGTCTGCTGCTGGATCTGCCTGCTCAGATAGGGATTCTGTTGGTGGGGGATTCTATCCAAGGAGGAGAAGGAGGTGGCAGCTGTCTGGCCCATGACACTGGGGCTGATAAGGCATTCTGTGTAAACAGTTGGCACCCAAGTGCGGGACTCCTAGAAGAAGTGTCCCTTTATTTGCCCATATTGCACTGCAGAAATTGCTCAAAGCTCTGGTAACTTGGATGGTTGTGTGGTTGATATCTAGAAACTAAATGTTTATTGTACAGAATCCTTACATAACTGATACTGCTTTCTTGCAGAACTGTCAAGTCCTGGATGCACTCACTCTCACAAACACTCTTGTAGCAGCAAGATTTGTTTATTAAGAGGTAGGAAGGTTCCAAGCATAGACAGCTTCTGTGTCGGAACTGGGTCCCAGATGCCATTTCCATCAATATACTATAAGCAAGAAATTCCACATATGCCAAGCGACAAGACATTGCTCCCACTTGGCCTGCCACATGTCTGCCCCTACCCTTGCGACCGCCCCTAACACCTGCAAGTTAACGGTTACATTATCTAGAAGTTCCCCAGACTACAAAGTCACACAGAATGATGAGATCATATACTTCCCAAGGTGTTCCCAGCAGAGATGATAACCAGCAATGAAGAGCAAAGTTGCGTGCAACATAGGAACTGTATAAGAGTACATGTGAATCCATAACACAACCAGTGGAATAATACAATGTGCGACAAGAACCCCTAATGCAACAGAACATGAGTATAAGAAACAGGAAATATTTGGCAAGCGAGACCCGAGCTTGACAAGAGCTATCATCACCTCTTTGTGTCCAGTTTATCATACAATCAGAGGAAAGGTGCCATCAGAACAAACCCTAAAACACATCATTATTTTGATCAAGGGGGTGTTGTGACCTTCACTACGACCCTTCTGCATTGTTTGGATGGGATCATCAAGAAGATATAGACTGAAGGGCATTCAAAGAAGCACATGAACAATTCATATAAGATTCTGTCCTTTTGTCGTATGCTACCCATACTGCTTCTAGTGGTAGGTTGCTGTGTTCACTGCCAGGGGTCACCCAGAAGTTCTGTCACAGTTCCTGTGTGCCTCATAGAGATTGGGAGTGTTGAGCTAATGTATGTGATGTGCCAAAACTCTTCTGTCTGGAACTAGAGTCAAAGACTCCCTGCCACAAGACACAATGGTCATCACATTAGCTTCTCCAGCACAGCCGTTTTGTTCTTCTTGCATTGGAATTTTCACACTAAATGCTAAAGTTTTTATCAGTGCAGGTATGTTGTCTTTGATTCCAGCTCACAGGCAATTTTTAAAAATAATTAGGTGTGATAAATTGATGCCGTCAGGAGGATTCTCTGAAGTATGAGTCTGCCAACGAATACATGAGCTAGATCATCTGTATGGGAAATGAATATTGGCTTAAAATCAAATGGGAAATGTAATCAGTTGTTAGCTACAGGCCTGAGGTCTCGTTCAAAGGGCTGTATTCCCTTCATTTTAGGAATGGTGCTTTCTGCTTTAGGGAGGCTGAAGACTAACCTTGTTCCTGATTCTGGCTTTGTAGGGTGTCATTGCAGAACTGAAAGTGAAAGGAGATCCTCGGGCAGCTGAAGTCCAGTGCGAGGAAGAGGAGGATGATTCTGATATGGTGAGTGTTCTCTATGCAGATTTTGAGCATACAAACCTTAGTAAGCCATTTTAAGATGTCAAACCAATTGTGCATCTCTTTCTTCTTGAGATGCTGAGGATTAAACCTGAGATTTTATGTATATGAAGTACTTTACCATTAAACAAAATCAAGATGAGAAGAGTGTCAACGGATCTAGTCAAACTTCACCCAGATTTGGCAGTCCTTCAGGAAACGCACATAAACAAGGCTGATACCAAGCTCTTCAAATCGCGTAGCAGGAATACTTAGCTCCTGGTACATCAGAGTCAAGGGGGGTAGCCATACTTTTCTACAAAAATGTCAGATTCACTTTAAAAGACTCAGTGATAGATCCCAATGGTAGATTTATCTTCTTAAAAGGACTTCTAGAAGAAAAAAAGGTTGACTGTAGTGACAATATACATTCTTAACCAAAATCAAGTCTTCTTTATTGAAGATGTTTTCAACAAACTAGAAATATTTAGGGAAGGTGAAGTCATAATTGGGGGAGTCTGTAATCAGATAATAGACCCAATGTTAGATAGAACCCATAAGAAACACCATAAACCGGGGCATAAGAAAATACAACTTTGAGTTTAGCTTCTTTACTTTAAGAGATATGATCTTCGTGACATATGGCGACATCATCATCCCAAAGACAGGGATTATATGTACTATTCAGGTAGGCATGAAATCTACACTAGGATAGACTTCCTTTTAATATCATCCCCTTTGATAAATCAATTTAGGACAACAAGTATTGGCACGCCATTATGGTCAGATCATGCGTGGGTGGATGGCACTCTGAGTTTGACAGGAGATGACACACGCAATACATACTGGAGGTTAAATACCTCTTTATTGCTAAATGATTTGACACGTCAGGATTTAGAAAAAGATCTTCAAAACTATTTTAAGGAAAATGGTGGGGATGATATACTTGTAACCACAGTTTGAGACGCCAAGAAGGCCACGATCTGAGGCAAGTTGATATCTATTGCCTCATACTATAAAAAACAATGCAACACTCTCAGAGAAAAAACTTTATTGAACATACAAAGCTTAGAATTAGAACACAAGAGAACAAATACTAAAAAATATACAAAACTTTACAGGCTGAGAGAAAAGCCCTAGAATCTCTGGAAACTCATCAAATAAACAAAAAATTACTACTGAATAAGCAAAAATATTGGCACTCTTCTCCTCATACATTGAAATTGCTGGCCTGGAAGATCAATCAGCAATCTTCTTTTAAAAAATAGCTATGTTGATAGCAAAGGGGTTCTGCAAAAAAAACACACAAAAAAGATTATAGGTTCCTTTGTGACTTTTTACAAGGCGCTCTACAAAGCAGGGAATTCAGATCCCATCAGAATATGCAATTATCACTTCCGGTTGATGGCGGCACGCTCATGGACTCACCTCCCGGACCTCCCGGGGGTGTCTCTGTGCTCTGGCGGAAGGAGGGGACGAGCAGGCTCGTAACCCCGCCCAGGGGCCTGGCCAAGGAGCTTTAAGGGGTAGCCTCTTCAATGGCGAAATGCCAGAGAATCAAGGCTCCCCTCCGCTCTAGTGGTCCTTCCAGCCGAGAGACCAAATGGTACAAGTGAAGCCAACCGTGTCAAGCGCAGGAGATCGGGCATGAAAATGATGAAGGAAGCGGGGTCGGAAGACCAACTATGAACGTGAGTCAACTGAGAAATGATTTTTAAAAGAAATGACACTCCCTACCCTATCCCGTGGAACGGGAAAAGCGAGCGAGGGGGTGACGCCTCCCATGCGCATAAACTGTTGAGCGAGGGGGGGGAGCAGAAGAAAAACGTGCGATTGCCCAGAAGTACTCACCCAATCGAGCTAAGCAGTCAAGCACATATTCAGAGACTTCAAAAAAAAATCCCGAAAGTAAATAAATGGGGGAAAAGATGGCGGGGAAGAGGGACAGAGACAAAGAAAAACTTTTAAAAATGAAACTAGAGTCCCCAAAGCCGGAAACGACCAGTGAGATGGCTAAGGCTATAGCTGAGTGCATGCGCCCTCTACTGGAACAGTTAAACAACTTTAAAGAACAGATGTCCATGGTAACAGCAAATATTACAGCCCAACAAACGCAGTTGTCTGTAGTAACAACAAGCATTACTGCTCAACAAACGCAAATAACAGATTTGATCCAAGTAATGAAGCAGGATGCTGAGAAAATAAAGGAAATGGCTGAATCAACGCAGAAAGTGAAGAAGAAAGTGCAAAAATTGGAAAAGAAAATACTTCTTTAGAAGACCAAATGCTTCAAGTACAAATGGATAAGGCCAACATGGTCCTGCGCTTCCAGGGTGTACCTGAGAACAAAGGAGAGAATCTTAAAGAACTTATGAGCAAGCTACTCGCCCCAGTAACAGGGGAAAAAAGCAGAATTGCTACTCAATGACATGGATGTGGCCTACAGGTCATATTCAGGATATATAAAGAAAAACAATCTGCCTGGAGAAATTGTAGTAAGATTCTCGAAGGGGCACATCAGGGATGCTATCCTGAAAGCAGTAGCGGCAACACCCTTGAAGGCAGGGGAGAATGCTGTTAGAATGTTAAAGGATATTCCGTTTGAAGTAAGGCAATGTAGAATGAAATACAAAGAACTTGTGCTCTTCCTCCAAACAAATTCAATTGGATACAAATGGCTATTTCCAGAAGACGTAACATTTAAGATTAAAGAGAAGAAGGAAAAGATTGACTCTGTTCTTAAAGCTCAAGAATTTCTAAAGGAACAGCTGGGAAGGTCAGAGGATGAGAAAAAAGAAGAGGACAGCAGGTCCAGTGGCGAGCTGGAAACTGGTACATCTGGCAAGGACTCTTTGTCTGAGCAGGGGGCAGCGGCCCCGAAAAGTTCCTACAAGCTGCGAAAGAGAAGGGAAAAGAAGAAGTAAATGCTGAAGGACTCTGACTTGTGTCTTTGAGAACTTTGGTTCTGGGGGATGATTGGGGATACTGTTATTGGGCAGTTAAATGTAAACTTGGAGGGTAAAAGGTTTTCTTTTTTAAAGGGTTTGACTCAGTTCATAAAAAGAATAACAATGAGAAGACTTGATGTTTTAAAGCTAGTTGGAGGGTCTCCTCTCATGGGTTTTTAGTTAGTAGTGGGTACTTTACTTTCTCCCATATATGTAGTTCCCTAACCCCCTTTTCTGTTGTAGTTTTTTGTAGTTAAAAAAATCAATAAAAAATCCCCTCCGGGGGCTCAAAAAAAAAGAAAAAGAAAATATGCAATTATCTTAGATCCACAACATTTGGAAATATTAAAATAGCTGACAATCATAAAGAGCTCATGGAAGGACCCGTAACCCCTGAGGAGGTATCAGAAGTAATTAAATCACTTAAAATCAATAAAAGCCCAGGAAGAGATGGGTTTCCATCAAAGTATTATAAAACATTCTCATATATTCTCTCAGGTCCTCTAGCGGAATTATGTAATCATGTCCTAACTACGGGCAAACTCCCTAAGTCCTGGTCTGAAGCGGCCATAACTGTCATACCAAAACAGTGGAAAGGTTTAACAAATCCGAGTTCTTACAGGCTGATTTCTTTGCCCAACTAGGACATGAAAATATTTACTGCATTACTAGGAAGGCATTTTAATTTGTTTATAATGTATGTTCACCCAGATCAGTCTGGCTTTATGCCCTCCAGAAATCTGGCAGATAATATAAGAAAAACTCTGAATGTTATATCTCACTGTAATCAAGACAAGGAAAAGTAGACGCCAATATTATACATGTAAAAATGTATGGTTGAAATGTTATGGAAAAGCTTAAATAAAATATTTTAAAAAACCAAGATTGAGGTGGCCATATTGTCACTTGATATAGAGAAGGCTTTCGACAGATTGGAACCCCTGTTTTTGAAAGAAACTATTAGTAATGGGTTTGGGGGACAATTTTTGTAGGGCAATTGGAGTGCCATATGCAGCCCCTACAGCACATATACGAATTAATGGCTTTACATCTGAGGAATTCCATTTAACAAGAGGAACACGGCAGGGTTGCCCCCTATCCCCACTTATATTTGCTCTGGCCATGGAACCACTCACTTCCATAATTAGAGACAACAAACTCATATCAGGGGTTGAGATTAATAAATGTCTTTATACTTCACAAATCTAACAGAATCACTACTCAAAGTGGAGGAAGTCTTAAAGAAGTTCATAGAAGTCTCAGGTTTACAGGATAATTTGAACAAAACAGAACTATAACATCGCATCAAATTCTAAAGAATGTATTGAAGAACACTTTAGATATAAGTGGATAATGGAATCCTGGAGACAATTGGGGGTCTGGATCCCATTGAATCTAAAGGATATCCTGAAAGTTAACCATATAAAATTTTTTAAGGAAATCCTGGCTTATCTACAAAGATGGGATAAATTTCCATTATCTTGGGCAGACAGACTCAATCTGGTGAAAGCTTTTGTGTTCCCCAAAATTCGGTTCTATTTTGGGACTATCCTGATTGTAATCACTGACACCTATTTTAGGCAGTGGCAGTCAACATTGAACACATTTATATGGGGCTTCCACAAGTCAAAAGTCAAGTTCAAAATTATAAGATGACACTCGAAAATGGGAGGAATGAGTTTGCCAGATCTAAAGAGATACTATGAGGCGACTCTACTGTCTCACCTGGTGATTATACTATCTTCCACAGCCACTTCTGACTGGAAGCAGATAGAGCAAAGCTACTCTCCATCCTTTGCCCTACAAGAAGTAATATGGGTTAGAAAGCAACACAGACCTGCAAATATAAACAAAACAGAATATCTGTGTTACCCTCTTTAAAGATATGGGATGCAAAGCGCTCAAAATTAGTCTCTAATACAGCTCTGCTCTCTCCGTTTGTGGGTCAGAGCTGGTTCCCTCCAGCATTAAATCCAGACACATTTACAAAATGGAGGGAAGCTAACTTAACAAGAACTTTGGGCATTTCATGCAAGGGAATCCTAATGAACAAAATTGATTTAGATCAGAAGGCAAGTTATAGGCTTCCTTGGTTTCAATATATGCAATTACAGCATTATTTAATACAACGCAATTCAAAAATTTTGGGATGAAACCTCTTACCCCATTTGAAATTATTATAAAATCTGAGACGGCGTCATTTAAAGGTCTGATTTCTTCACTATACAACATTCTGGGTCAACCAGATAATGAAAAATCTTTTCCCTATCAGAAAAGTTGGGAACAGGATTGTAATAGGATTATATCTAATCAACAACGGCAGTCTATTTGGAAATCCTCAACGCTACAATCGCATTCTATAAATGTCAAAGTACAATCCTTCAACATTTTAACATGGTGCTATCTTTCGCCACAGAATATATCCTTCCACGAGCTCGATGTGCTGGAAGGGCTGTGGGTCAAGAGCTTCCTTCCTTCATTGTTGGTGGTCGTGTCCGCGAATAGCTCAGTTTTGGAATCTGATAATCAAACATATTAATACTATAACAGGTTACCTTATTTCAAATTAGCTGGAATTATTGTTGCTATCTCTCTGGGAAAACTGTGATCTACCAAGTTCCAAAAAAATACTAATTGATCTTCTGTTGGCAGCTGCCAGAGCCTCTATCGCCATTAGATGGGAAAATAACCTCCCTCCAACACTCACACTCCGGTATGACAAAATCTGGCAATTCTATCTGAAGGAAAAGATTGCTTACAAGAATGCCCCATCGAACAATGCGAGGCAAAAAGCTCTGTTTCTGGCAATTTGGTACCCATTATGGAATTGTATGATAACTAATGATAAACTGCCAAAAATGTTTATCCTATAGATCTCTTACAATTGTAAGATTGATAAACTTATTGTCTTATTGTTGACAACGGTAGCTCTATAAATATGTCAAACCAGCAGCATCTGAGAAAGTAATGTATCACAAATGTACTGTTCTTGATTAATGTCCTCTATGTTTAATAAAAATGTTTAATAAAAAAATCAATGAACATTTGAATACAAAATTGATATGAATAATAACTTCTTCCCAGGAAAACCAAATGACTAGACATGCCCAAAGCGCATATGTCATATCAATGTGAAGTGGGTACTTGAATCGTATTTTCAGACCAAACTTTACTTGGAACGGATATATCCAGCAGTTTGTTTGCAGGAAAACAAAATGTGTTAATCTAATGAGTGCAGGCAGCAATCACTCTCTTGATCTATTTATCTGCCTCCTTTCTTTTTGACATTTTTAGGCGTCTGGAGATGGTGGAAGTGGGGCTGAAGAAAAGCCACAGCCATCAGAAAAGGAAAAGGTGCGTCCATGTGTGTCAGTCACGTGCATTGCTTCCAACGGGGAAATGCAAGTGATTAATAGCAGCCGATGAGAACTGATAGATATTTTCCCTCCCTGCTGATGAAAAGCTGCCCATCTGGTTTGCCCGTTTTATAGCTAGGAATGGCATCTGGTATTGTGTGTTGTGCCAGTGTATAGTGAAATGGATCAAAGGGAGAGGTTGAGAGGCAAGAGGTGTCAAGTTTAGAATTCCCACTGATGCCCAGTCCCACTCCCTGGGAATTGCAAGGCTATCTGTTCAACCTGCTTTGCAGGAGAGGTTGTGAAGATAGAATGAGAACAATATAGCACTTACAATGCTGAAAGTGTGCTACAGAAACTGTAAAATAATTCACAAGTTTCTTTTAAAAGCGATTCAGCACCTTCTTTTCTTTTTTCTTTTTCTTTTGACAATTAAAATGCAAACATATGGAACAACATTATTATTATAAAACAGCAGCCTGCAGCCAGATCAGATTGACTTTTATTCAAGAGAATGTTTGAGATATAATTACAAAAGTAAAAAGGTAGTGTATACAAGCAAGTCCCAGAGATGCAGGTGCTATAGTGAGCCTCAGCCACAAGTAGGGTTGCCAGCCCCCCCCCACCCCGGTGTGCGCGGGGGGGAGAATCTCCTGGTTTCCAGCACTCCTTCCGGCGCTGGCCAGCCGGCCGGCAAGGGAAAGTTACCACCCCAAACGTAACATGCCTCTGTCACCCAGAAGTGACGTCGACATGTCAGTGATGGGGGGGGGGACGGTCTGGTTTTTGGGGCAACCATAGCGTTTTGCCCCCAAACCAGAGTGTCATCCCCAACATGCCTACTACCAGGTGAGATAGGCACATCGCACTTCTTCCCTCCCCTCTCCCGAAGTGTCCCAGTAAGTCCCCTGCCAGCTTCTCATTTCAACCTGGCAACCCTAGCCACAAGCCTTCTGGAATAATAGGCCTTCCACACTCTCCCCATCGTTCCTTGCCCTTGGGACAAGTTGGAGTCCCTAGGTACAGGGTTAGTCCTACACGGCTAAAGCCTCCTTGGTCAAAAGCAGTAAGATAAAAATAAGATGGAAGAGAGTTTCTTCTCTGAATCTAGAGAATTTATAATCTCCTGTTGGAAGTGTCTACTCCCTGTCCCCCAGGAAGCTATTACTTTCTAGCAGTTTGGCTATTCCTCTCTCTACCCCTTTAGGTGCAACATTCTAGCCAGGTGTGAGAGAGAAAGCCCTTGTCCGGGAGCCTCGAGGGCTTGATGCCCCTCCCCCTCCCCCTTGCCAGCTATTCGTTTGAAGCTAGGTTCCAACTCACAAATAGAGTTATGGCTGACATACTGGGGTGAATTCTAGGGTGCACAAAATGTATATCCGGTAGGCAGAGACACTTACACTTACAAAGACAATAAATATAAATATAAATGTATTTTCCTAGAGAATATATACCTCATGCATCTCATGAAATAAACTGTGGCTCTTGAAAACTTATTTATTTGAATGTATTTACTCTGCTTTTCTCCTCAAAGGGACCCAAAGCAGTTTACAACAGTAAAGAATATCATATGAATGAGCCAACCAACAAATTAAACAACAAGCTACCTCTTGAGCCATTTCTGGATTCAATAGTTGGCTCATCTGAAGACATAGGCTATGAACCGTGGGCTGAAAGCCAGAGGGCCAGGAGTCCTCTGAAGGGTGCCCTTCAGCTTGCACACCGAAAGCTCCCACCTCTGGCCACACCCATTCTTTACATCTGCAAAAGGAGGGAAAAGCAAATGCTAAGCGAGATGTTAGCCGTTGGCAAAAATGTTCCTAAGTCACAGTGAGCCGTGCCTCATGAGAGTTCATACTGAAGTAAATGATAGTCTTTAAGGTGCCACAGACTAACATGGCTATTGCTTTGCAAAGATGTTCCTTTCCATCTTTCCCTCCACGTTGCAGAACCTCTGTCCGTGCAAACACTCCGCAAGATGTTGTTAGAATAGAGGATCTGCAGTGCAGACTCAGGGAGTGGTGGGCTGGACGGTCCTCAGTCCTTTAGGCCTTTATAAGTGACAGGCACCCTTCTGAATCAGGCTGAAAAACAAAGTGGCAGCCCAGCTTGGAAAAGGACTGGGTGTAGTACAGTTCTCTTGATTTGGCCATAATCAGAATTGGGTTGTGGCATTTTTGTCAGTTACTACTTTTGAAAAGTCTTCAAGCACAGAGCACTGTAGCAATTTATCAGTGAGGTGTGAATGAAGTCGGCGAATACCTTGATTTTGAAAAAGGGTGCTGGTGGCATATCATGTGTGTACTGTGTGTAAATTGTATGCGTGGATATGGTCTCTGTCATTGTTCATAGAAATCAAGGATCAGCAATGCATTGTACATTTTGGTTATTGGGAGGAAAATCTCTTTTTGTATCCAAGAGTCCAAAGATGGTTTGCCAATTAGCATCTCTCCACCAGATGTGCTCTGCAGCCTGGAAACCTGCCTCTCTGTGGGAGAAAACTGAGATTTTAATCCAAACAATGTGTTTGGGTTTAGAAATGTTATAATGTTAAGGACACGAGGTTGATCCAGGGCAGTAACGCTTTGAAGCAGCTGGTTAAACTGGACTCCTCATTCCCTATTAATGAACATTGGCTGCTTGTGTTTTGGCAGCATTCACTTTGCTCAGCTAGGTATCCCTGGCTGTTTTCAGTGATGCATCACAGAATTCCAGAGTGTTGACTTTTTTCTTCTGATGACCTGTGTCTGATCAGCTGATTCTGTTGCCTTTACTTGCCATGGTTAACACCACTGATCTGCGTGCTTAGATTTGTTTTTAGAGCCATGTGAGCAGTAGGTGAAATAAGTAGGAATTTTATTGCACAAAATACACCAATAAAATGGCATGACTGTCTAAGCATAGGGCAGACCTGTTCAGATTCTTGGTATGTGTGCATGAGAGAGAGGGGGTGGTGGTGGTCAGTCTTGGTGCAATCCATTGGCTTCTAAGGCCCTCAGACACAGAAAGTTCTCCCTTGCAGGCTGATGCATATCAACCTTTTTTCTCTCTGCTAAAAAGATCTGATTGCTTCAAATTTTAAATGATCCAAAATATTTGAACGCTGGCCCCTGCCACACGGCAGGGGAAAAGCCCTTTAAAGCGCGGCTTTTAAAAGCCGCGCCAACGTTGATACGGCTCGGCGGGTGAACTTAGAAAACTTTCCCATTCTTAACCTCAAATGTCTGGCCCTTGTCTGCAAACAAAGCAAAACTGGGAGCACAATGTTTTTGTCTTCTTCCTTTTTAGTATTAGCAGTATCTTTACCCCCTTCTTACGAAAGCCAGCATGGTGTGTGATGGTTAGAGTGCTGGGCTGGAAACTGGAAAGACGGAGAGTTCAAACAGACAAGACATGCCTGCCTCTTCATAAAATTCAGCTTGTGCAACCTCCCACTGTCTTGGGGACACACCTGGGAAGGACAGGAAGGTTAATCCTTCAACCTTCACTCCGTTTCACCGTTTGGAACTGGCTCCCTAGTCTGCTGTTAGCATTTTAATGGGTAAAAATATGTTCTTTAAAAACATGTCTTCTCATAGAGGAACAGGCTGGGAAATGCAAAACAGAGTGGACGTTAAAGGCTTAAACCCCCTCGCTCTTTTTTGTATCTAGGTAAGCTGAGGCTGCATGAGCCTGCGGTCTTCATTTTATGGACAAGCCCAAGATTGGTGATCTTGCCTCACCTGTGTGTGTGTCTTGGAGTTCACATCCCAGCTTGTCATGAAAGACTCCCTGGGTCATCCCGGGGCCGTCATTGTCTCTCAGTCTCACCTATGGCAGCGGGTCCTTTTGAGAGTAAAATGGAGATGGAGGAGGAGAGAACTGTATGTGCTGCCCTGAGCTCCTTGGCAGAAGGACAGGATGAGGATGAAACAGCAAATAGACAAACACATTTTCTGTAGCTCCACTAGAGATGTATTTTTATTAGTAATACTTACTTTTAGTACGTATTCCTTTCACTTGAAGTTAAGCTGATATTCACATAGTTTACATGTCTACTTCAGGTTCTGGGAGGTCTTTTTTACTTAAGAAAGATGGATTTAAGTCAATACAATCTTCTTTTTTCTGGATTCATGCTGCCATGGAGCAAATTTCACAAATTAATTTTCTTCTGCTGGTATTTTGCCTGCGCTTGTCATCAACTCCAGAGGCTGAGTATTTTTGAAATAATGTGCATGTCTCCTCCATGAAATAATGTGCATCAGAGCCAGTTTGGTGTAATTGTTAAGAGCGTGGACTCCAATCTGGGAGAACCGGATTTGATTCCCCCTTCCTCCACATGCAGCTGCTGGGGTGACCTTGGGTCAGTCATAAGTTTTTTCAGAGCTGTTCTCTCAAGGGCAGTTCCTGAGACAGCTCTCTCAGCCCCACCTGCCTCGCAGGGTGTCTGTTGTGGGGAGGGGAAGGGAAAGGGATCATAAACTGCTGTGGAATTCCTTCGGGTAGTGAAGGGCGGGGGTTAGAAATCCAATCTCCTCCTCCTTCTTCTTCTTCTTCTTCTTCTTCTTCTTCTTCTTCTTCTTCTTCTTCTTCTTCTTCTTCTTCTTCTTCTTCTTCTTCTTCTTCTTCTTCTTCTTGCTTGTTGGCACTATTTGAGCATCAGGGATATAAGGATGTTTTACAACTCTGTGTGAGATCACTAACATTTGCCTTCCAAAGTAAAGCCTTCCCAATTAAGCAATTGTATCTTTTACATCAATAACATATGCATTAGAAATAGTTCGTTCTTTTCTGTGATCTAAGCTTTTTATTTAGCACTAACCTGCCTATAGCATATTTATCCAAGTGCCTTACTTAAAACAGTATGAGGGTCTCTGAAATGTGATGTCACCTCCATGTTCACTTTCCTCTTTGTAAGAAGGTATATTCAGGAGCCACCACTGTAATGTCTGCAGAGCAAATGATGAACAGGGTTTAGGGTCTACTGTTTCGTTTCCAATAAAAAATCAGACAACTTTGAGAGTATGCTGCCTAAGGAATTGCTAACTTCTTGGTTTTGAGATGTCACCATTCTCAGCCAGAGCAGAATTATGTTGCCAAAACAACCACTACATTTTAGCTAGCCACTGATAGCCTTCCCACTACTTGGATTTCCCAAGTATGCTTTTACATTTCATTAAACTGGTCCAGATTTTGTAGGGCATATGGAATCCTGGGCCCATTTCAATGTTAAAGTAATAAACAGAGGGCCTTGTATCATGAAGGGGTGGTAGGCTGGTGTTCATGTGTGTTCTTAAGTTCTCTGGAATAAATACAGCCATGCATCTATCACTCAGTCACACTATTCATATGTTTTATGCATTACAAACTTGACCTAAAATGCTTCTATGTTTGCACCAACTCTGGACAAATGTAATTATGCAGAGAAATAATCTAGGGCAGTGGGTGTGTGAGCATGCAGCCAGTTTCTCCAGGATATGTTCTCATTTACTGATAAGCAGAACTCGCCAGCTTTCCCTAGCTGACCCCCCTTCCCTTTGGTTTACTTTCTTCTCTAGTGTGTCTTGTTCCTACTTTTAGAATATAATGCCTGTGGGCGGGGTGTGTTTTATTGCATGTTTCTAGACAGCATTTAGCAATTTTAAACAGTTTCTAAATAATACATCTTGGAGCCTTGTGTATGTGTGAAAGGTGAGGCACAAAGTACAGCCAAGGCATAAAGCTGTAGCCTCTCTTTTAAAAGTGTCTCTACCTGGAGCAGGGATCCTGGCCATTTAGGGCATTACAGGCGCTGTGTTGAAAGTTCCCAGTCAATTCTTTTCAGTCCAGTTCTTATCATAATCACATTCAAAACAATATTACATTAGGCTACAGTGTACAGGCAATATTACCAGATCAGGTTATGGCGCTATCATTGTTCTTTCCGAATGCTCGTGTGTTTGTGTGTGTGTTTGTGTGTGTGTGTGTGGGTTACTCCTCACATTTGACCATTTGTCTCTATCCATGGTAATCAAATACTCTTCCCCAAATAAAGGTGAAAAAAATTACACACACACCCCCAGGGTAAAAGGGATCAAACATGTAGCATAGCTTGATTTCGGGGTACTGAGTCTGAAACCAGATGTGACACAGAAAATCAGTGATCAAGGTCTCCTGCTTTGCATTAAAATTAAAAGCAACTGCCCGGAAGGAAGGAAATTGGATCAGGGAAGTGGTGTGGGAGGAAGTGGTGTTTAATACTTTTCCTCTTCACTGTTCTCTGTGGGAGATACACATACAGGCGTCTTTATATATTTTCCTCTGGGGAAGACAGGTAGCAGCCAGAGGAAACTGATTTAGAAATTCAGGAAAATAGCCTGGGAGGAAGCAGCTATACTTCCCTCACCTCCTTCTACTTCATGTACATGATTCAAGGCCCCAGTTGGAGCTTTAACTTCGAAAAGCGGGAGACCCTGGTCATAGATTTCCCTTATCAGGTCCAGTATTCCCTCTAAGCTGAGTTAGTGTGAGCTAGCTCAGTTTTTTAGCCTCCAGCTCACACATTTTTGTCTTAGCTCAGGAAGCAGGGCTCCAGAGCAAACTAATTTATGCAGTAGCCAAATCACTTGCTCAGAACTTTAATGCCAGTAGCTCACAAGGTAGAATTTTTGCTCACAGGATTCCACAGCTTGGAGGGAGCATTGAATCAGGTATAGTTTGTAAAGGTTTTGAGGTCTTCAATTTTCCACATGTATTTGGATATAGAACATTCATGCCACCTTGTGGCCAGTGGTATTATTGTCACAAATGTTCTGTTCCATGTATTTGTTGTTGTTCAGTCGCACAGTCGAGTCCGACTCTTTGCGGCCCCATGGACCAGATCCCGCCAGGCCCTCCTGTCTTCCGCCGTCCTCTGAAGTTTGCTCAATTTCATGTTCGTTGCATCGATGACACTGTCTAACCATCTCATCCTTTGCCGTCCCCGTCTTCTTTGACCTTCAATCTTTCCCAGCATCAGGGTCTTCTCCAGTGAGTGCTCCCTTCTCATTTGGTGGCCAAAGTATTTGAGCTTCAGTTTCATTATCTGGCCTTCCAGGGAACAGTCAGGGTTGATTTCTTTTAGGATTGACTGATTTGTTCTTCTTGCAGTCCAAGGGACTCTCAAGAGTCTTCTCCAGCACCATAGTTCAAAAGAATCTATTCTTCGGCGCTTGGCCTTCCTTATAGTCCAACTCTCGCAGCCATACATGACTACTGGGAATACCATTGCTTTGACCATGCGGACTTTTGTTGGCAGGGTGATGTCTCTACTTTTTATCATGCTGTTTAGGTTCGCCATCGCTTTCCTCCCAAGGAGCAGGCGTCTTTTAATTTCATGGCTGCAGTCACAGTCTGCGGTGATCTGGGATCCCAGGAACGTGAAGTCTGTCACTACTTCCACAGCTTCCCCTTCTATTTGCCAAGGAGTGATGGGGCCAGATACCATGATCTTAGTTTTTTTGATTTTGAGCTTCAAGCCCACTTTTGCGCTCTCCTCTTTTACTCTGAGCAAGAGGCTCTTTAAGTCCTCTTCACTTTCTGCCATTAGAGTGGTATCATCTGTATATGTGAGGTTGGTGATCTTTTCCCCAGCAATCTTAATTCCGGCTTGTGATTCATGCAGGCCAGCATTTCGCATGATGTACTCTGCATATATATTAAATAAGCAAGGTGACAATATACATCCTTGTCGTACTCCTTTTCCTATGCTAAACCAATCAGTTGTTCCATATCCGGTTCTAACTGTTGCTTCTTGACCCTTATACAGGTTTCTCAAGGGACATGTGAGGTGGTCTGGAACTCCCATCTCTTTAAGGACCTGCCATAGTTTGTTGTGATCCACACAGTCAAAGGCTTTAGCATAGTCAATGAAGCAGAAGTAGATGTTTTTCTGGTACTCTCTTGCTTTCTCCATAATCCAGCGAATGTTGGCAATTTGATCTCTAGTTCCTCTACCTCTTCGAAAGCCAGCTTGTACTTCTGGCAGTTCTCTATCCACGTACTGTTGAAGCCTAGCTTGTAGGATCTTGAGCATGACCTTGCTAGCGTGCGATATGAGTGCAATTGTGCGATAGTTTGAACATTCCTTGGCATTGCCCTTCTTTGGGACTGGAATGTATACTGACCTTTTCCAATCCTTTGGCCACTGTTGCGTTTTCCAAAGACATGTTCCATGTATAGGTATGTAAAATTTCTGGAAATGTTTAAGGCAATTGCATAGTTGGAGAGTGGGAAACAGGCCCTCCTGCCCGTGCAAAACAAATATGGGGGAGGTAATGCAATGATATGCAATATTTACCTTACTTTCAAATATTAGTGTACTTATAATGCATCCTAGGATATCTAAATACATTGTTTGCTAACTGAAAATATAGGAATACACATCAAAATGATAAATCATCAATATTGTAGAAAAACAAAAAGAAGATTTTATGAGCTGGGTTTAGGAATATGTGTTTATATCTATAAAATCTTCCTAATGAGGATGCTTTCTAACTACACTGAACACTTAAACAGTATAATCATAATCTATCGTAAGCCCCAGTGAACTCAGTAGGACTGTTTTTTTAAATATGCATGCACAGGATTGGACCACACCGCTAATGTTGGTGCAGCAACAGCAGAATCTGCTTTGTGTTAGAAACAAGAAGAGCTGGAGACTGTTTTGTGCAAAGGCCTGGGCATCAGTAATTGCAGCAATACTTTTTAAAAAACTGCTGGATTCCCAGACTGGACCCAATACAAGGCCCAGTGTTTTGTAACACCCGTTCCTTCAGGAGCAGGTTCCAGGGCTTGTTACTCATCTAGGCGAGCCCAGGAGCCGTGCTACAACACCGGAGGTGCTTAGAGCTAACAGACTCCATTTCCAGTAGCATGAATTGGCTGTAACAATATTATTTTAACAGCACTGCCTTAAAATATTTTGCTTATTTTGAAAGAGAAGATATTTAATTAGAGATTTGCAGCTTTTCTCAGTTTCCTATTTCAAGCCTTGTGGGAGAAAATGCCCAAGCATTTATTTCTTCAATACCCTGTAATAGTTCTGAATGTCCACCTTCTCTTTAAAGTCAGTGGGCTTTCTGCACACTACACTGTTGGTACCTTAATAACCCAGACTCAGTAGTAAAGGAAATCATTGTTGTTTATTTGAATCATTGGTGGGAGAAGGGGCGTGTTGGCTTGTGTCTGCCTGGTGCAGAGAAAGTGAGCCCGTTTGCTCTTCCCCCAGGGGGGTGCCGTGCTGCCAAGCCTCCCAGAACCCCCGCCTGTCACGTCCCCTCCCACCGCCAAGGAGCCTGCACAGCCAGAAGAGAGGCCCAGTCTGCACACGGAACGGACCAAACCAGGAGGGACCCCGCCGTCTGCTTCAGGCGGTAAGTCTGGTTTCCTTCATCCTGGCAGCCCCCTTGGCTGAAAAGTGAAAATGAGGCTCAGAGTTCTGGAGGATGAAGTGCCCTTGATATTGCTAGATGGAAGTGAGTAAAAAGAAGACACCGTGGGGTGGCATCCTACAAGCCACGGATGGAAGGAGCTTATGGTCACGGGTCTTCCCCACTTTCCCCTCCTCACAGCACGTTGGTTCCTGGAGTTGTGGGGAGCATGTGTGGAGGTGGGCTGCAGTGAGGAGGGGGGAGAGGGGGGAGAGGGGCCCTCTGTGCCTCTCCCATCAGCAGCCAGATTTGAGTCCGGGAGCATCTCAGAGACCAAGAAGATTTTGGGGATATAAACTTTCAAGAGTCAGATATGAGTTGGAATGGAGACCTCTGAGTCCTTCGACCTCAGTCAGAATATGGGAAGGGGAGTTGTAAAGGATGCGTGCTCAAGGATGCAGAGGTGCAATGCGTATTGTCATCAGCTTGACTAGAGCAGAGGGGGAAATGCGTTGGGGCAGAAGATTAGTATCTGTAGTGAGATAAGAATCCTGTGTTCCTGTTCAGCCCCGGGAGGCTCCACTTTGATTCTCAAAAGCTCATATCTCAGAAACCTTATTGGTCTCTGCGGTGCTCCTGGAGGCGAATCTGACTGCTCAACTGCAGACCGACACTTCCATCAGCAGGGCCGCCTTGACAGGAGAGGAAGGAGGAAGCAATTTTACCTCCTTTCCCCTTTTTCTTGCTCTCCCTCTCCCCCCAGCTATTACTCTGTGCCGTCTTGCAAAACGAGGAACTCCCTTTCTCTTGGCAGGAGGAAGCTCCAGGGTGGGGGGAAAGAAAAAGGGGAAGCCTGCAGTCACTGTGTCAGGTGGAGCAAGAGATCCAACTCCATGACTGCAAAACATTTCTTATGAAGCTCAGCTAGTGAGCAGTGTTGTGCAGAGAGAAAATGGATATTTAGGTGCAAGAGTGTGCAAGAGGAAAGAGCACATTTTAGCAACATCAGGGCCACTTTGGAAGCGCACTCACTGGTCAGTCCACATGTATCTTCTCTCTCCAGAATCAAACCTTGAGAAATTAGTTCCTTGTATGTTCATCACAAACTGACTATGGTGGGCTGGTGTCTGTTAAGTTCACAAAGCCACCTCCTCGCCATGGAACACTCTTTAAATTGTATGTGTGTGTTTCAGCAAGGCAGTGAATGGCTGATTAGATACATAAATGTTCATTAAACCAAAACCAGGTAGTCTGTTCAAAATATTAGGAGAGAAGCAAGATTGAGAGCATTCAGTTTGGTAGTGTTAACATTTGCCATTTCAGTTATGGTGTAAGCATGCATAGTCGCTGCCCTTTGGCCAACTCCTCTTCAACTTTGCTATGAATCCTGATATTTTAATATGCATGTTTCCAAGAGAACCAGTTTGGTGTAGTGGTTAAGTGTGCGAACTCTGATCTGGGAGAACTGGGTTTGATTTCCCACTCCTCCACTTGCACCTGGCTGGATGGCCTTGGGCAAGCCATAGTTCTGATAAGAGCTGTTCTTGAAAAAGAGCAGTTTCTGTCAGAGCTCTCTCAGCCCCACCTACTTCGCAGGGTGTCTGTTGTGGGGAGGGGAAGGGAAAGGAGTCTGTGAGCCCCTCTGAGACACCTTTGGGTAGTGAGGGGCGGGGTATAAATCCAATCTCTTATCTTCTTCTTCTTAGATTATCTTGTTGATATGCCATTCACAGTAATTACTAGGTGCTTTTTGATCAATCCACTTTCTTGTGATAACCTTTAACAGTTAAAGTGAACACAAAACATCTTTCATTTTCCCACATGGCAACAGCAGACCCTCCTTCCTCTCTCTCATATGCCCTCTTGAACAGCTGTTTTATACATATAATTTGTTTCCCATTTCTGCTGTAGTTGGAGCCAAAGGTGAAAAAGGGGATCAGGGTGAAAAAGGTGAGCGTGGCCCTAAAGGAGATTCTGGAGTCGGTGAAGTTCTACCAGCAGGTGGCACTAAAGGTGAAAAGGTAAAGGGATAATCTCTCTCCTCTCTTAGCTATTTTCTTTGTTAAGAGTGTGAAGCCTTTTTCTGTGTTAGTAAAGACTGGTGGAAAAGATCCTTTCCTTCCTTTTGCTGCGTTGCTGGATTCCCACCTGTCTCTCGGTCCTAGCCTTGCCTATCCCATATTCTGTCACTGAGGTGTCCTTGGACGTCCTGAGAATGTTTCCAGATTTGCATGCCTTTAATTTTGTTCTGCAGGCATGTAGACAATAATGGTTTTGTACGAGTGGTGAAGTGAAATATAACCCGAACTGCTCAGTTTTGAATGAACTCTGCAGGGAACCTTACACTGCTTTAATTCTGTATGGGTGGGATGGAATAAAAGCTAGAATAGTGCCAACACAGAGGGAAAAAAGTGTTTGGAAGGCAAAGAACAGGTCAAAGGTTGATGCCAAGAGTAACTGGAACCATTATTCCCGCTCACACACATATTTGGCAGTTGGCCGTGTGCAAATTCATTTTTTTCCTCCAGCCATCCATTTTCATGCTCTAAGGCAGGGGTCCCCCGTGTTTTGGAGCCTGTGGGCACCATTGAAATTCTTATACAGGGTGGTGAGTACAGTCACAAAATGGCAGCCACAAATGGTGAAGCCAAGCACAACATTTAAAGAAGTGAGGTTATGCATAATTCCAGTAATAACACTTTAGCATCTCAGGCAGAAGCTCGGTTTAACAGAATGGCTTTAAAAATAAACCTATTGTTTAAAAATAGTTTCTTGCATTCACACAGCCTACCTTTAGCAACACAGTGAAGATCCGTGTGCTGTGGTGACGGCTGCTGCCTGAAGCAATGGTTTTTTTTTTAATGTTCTCAGCCAACTGTATCTCCAGTGGGCCAATCAGAAGCAGAGCAAAGCTCGGCCTCGCTGACTTCCTAAGAGCTCCAGGAAAGGTGTGGGCAGATGCCACGGCATTCAGTGCCACGTTAGGGACCTCAACTTAAAAAAAAGGCATCACAGATTATACAGTAAAAAGTTTTGGGAGGGCCCTGCGACCAAGCTGGAGGACAGTTTTCTCAGAGCTCTTGCTTTGCCATGGAAGAGGTAGAAGGTTTCTCTGACTGCAGAGCGTGACAGAAGTAGAGTGTGTGAAAACAGGAAGAGGGTAGCTTCTGGTGTAGCTCAGGCTAACCCTGAGACCCCGGCTGCTGCTTGCAATGCATTTCCCATGAGGGTTTTTTAAAGCTTTGAATCTGTGGGGGAGAAACTGTGTATTTCTTGTAATGAGTAATATTAGTTAATTCACTCTTTAGCATACTGTTCATGAACACATCGTATTCGTATTCTCATTCTGTTTGCCACAAAAGATAATCCCTCTTTTGTTTTATGTAGATAATGCAAACTCATGTTGCTGTTTGTTTGACTATTAATATGTTAAATACTGAAAAATGTTGCTTTTTATCTTGCAGGGAGAGAAAGGAGAGTTGGGTGTTAAGGTAAGCACATTTCCTAAATGTCAGCTTTTAAAAGGTATTTGTAAGGAGTACTGTGATGGGGATTTACTTGGGGCAGACAGTGGGACAATTCAATGCTGTCTGTATGTGACTTGGAGGCCCCATCCCATCCACCATTCAGCCCCAAAGCACGTATCATCGAACACAGTTCTGTGCCCCCCCAACTTCCTGCCTAGAGTGGATCTAGTCCCACATGCTGCCGGGGAGGCAACTTTCCTAACTTGAGTGGGAAAGAATCTGAATTCAGATCATGAGGGTTTCTTTGTTTTTTTAAATAAAACGCATCCCAGTGTGACTTCTGCTTTTTTCAGCAAGCCCAGAGGAGGGATGTTCATACTTTTTATTAAGGAGTTCATATCTTTATATTCTGGATTTCAGCACTGCACAGTATTTGAATTGTTGGTAAAGGCTTTTGCAGGGAGGGAAACAATAATATTAAATAATTACTGAGGTCCAGGTGGCGTAAGACTTGACCGGATGACCCAGGCTTTTAGGAAACCAAGCCACTGAGCTGGCGCGGCAAGGCTTAGTGTTAAAGTTATTGTTGCCTTTTGTCTTGGAACTGTTTGAGTGCTGCTGGGTGGGTGGGTGTGAGTGCAAAACTGGATAGGCTATTATTTACATGGAAGTCTATAACAATCAGTTCGTGTAACGAACGGTGCAGGAGGGCCACAATCTAAGGGAGCATTCACATTGTTGGCCTGGAGGCACGGCTGTAAGGCGCAGCTTTCTTTTTCTGTAATCTGGAGATATGCGCTTATGCACATGAGCGCATGAGCGCACAAGAAAAATGTGGCTTTTAGCATTCACACTTTGTTGGTGCAGGATGGACGCGGGATAATTGTGCTTTCCAGGGTTCGCTACCACTTTCACCAGGTATCTTTTAAACTTGGGTAGCGAGTATGGGTGGGGAATGCCTGACAGATGTGCCTGTGTGAACGGCCCTGTGACGACCCCTTAACTGGGGAGGTCTGGTTTTACTTTAAAAGTGTTCTTTATATTTTTCTCTACTGGGTAATCCAGCTGCCACCAGGAAATTTAAGGCTTTCCAAACCTCTATAATATAATATTTCTGTCACTGGGTAGGTAAGTCGAGGGTTTAGGCGTTCATGAGGGTCTATGTGGTTCCTGAGAAGAATTTCTTTCAGAACTGGTATCTTAAATAAAAGTAGATTTATTGATATTTCACACACTTTTCTCTCCCACTGTCAGGGATCTGGGCATGCAACTTTGTAACACTTTTTTCCCTTTAGGCCATATATGGTTACTGTTTCTTTATACTTCAACTTTTCATAACACACACAAGACTTCTCTCTCTCAGACCTTAAAACGAACAAACTGCTTAACTCTTTTACTACACAGAACCAAATTATCCCACATGGGGATTTATCTCTCTCTCTTACTTCAGAACTAACTAACTCTCTGTCTTCTTCAACTGTCATCTCTAACTGACACTCCTGACTGACATATCTGCTCATCCACACAGAATCATTTCCAAAACCCCTCCCCCTCTCTGTCACTCACCAATCACACCACTTGCTTGTTTCCACTACTCTAGACTATCATACAGCCATGCATCCAAACTTTTAAAGTCACACACCCCGTTAAACATGAAATCGTTACAGGCCCCTTTAATCCGGTTGTGGAACGTTTCTGAAATGCGCGTATATTGGGGCAAACTGCCAGTCTGAACTCGGCGACAGACATTGATGCTGAGTGCCCGTCCCGGTGTGTTTACAAATGGAAGGGGTGCGGGGCTGAAACAAGGGAGATGAAAAGTGTATGAGGAGTGATTCCTTCTCTACTGGCATGTATGAGAGGGAAGCAAGAAGGTCTCTTATAGCAAAGAAAGCCAAGGGAGTTAGTTGTTGCTTCACATCCGGCAGATGCCCACCTTTATTATCCAAAGTCTCAAAAAAGAAATAGTGTCTGGCTTCTGTTTATCTTACCTATTTCCTCCCTCACTTTAGGGAAATGCAGGCTTTGGGTATCCGGGCGCGAAAGGACAGAAAGGCGAGCCTGGTGCACAAGGATCTCCCGGCCCCGTGGGTCCCCCTGGCCCTCCTGGGACCATGCTGCAAAGCCCTGACGGCTCTCTTATAGAGCAAGTGGCTGGGCCTCCGGGACCTGCAGGCCCACCAGGGACACCTGGGAAAGATGGTCTACCTGGGAAGGATGGAGAGCCTGTAAGTAAGAATCCAAGCAGGGGCTGATGAAGGGGGGCGGGGCGCGGACTGTTCAGACTCCTGGAGGAGGGGACCGGGCTGAATGTGGCCTAGGCGCATACTTAGTAATATATGTGAATTTATTTCAATATGAAATTATATATCCATTCAGCTAAACATGAAGAAGAACTTCCTGACAGGTAGAGCGGTTCCTCAGTGGAACAGGCTTCCTCAGGAGGTGGTGGGCTCTCCTTCTTGGGAGGTTTTGAAACAGAGGCTAAATGACCCCATCTGACAGCCAAACGGATTCTGTGAACTCAGGCAGATCATGAGAGGGAGGGCAGGACGGGTTGCCTCAGAGCTTAGTTCTTGTGGCCCTTTCTTACATGCCCAGAGGAATGCTGATGGCCACTTTGGGATCAGGAAGCAATTTTTCTCCAGGCCAGTTTGGCTGGAGATCCTGGAGGTTTTTTGTCATCTTTTGGGCATGGAACAGCGGTCACTGCGGGTGTGGAGGGGGAGGTATTTGTGAATTTCCTGCCTCGTGCAGGGGATTGGACTAGATGACCCTGGAGGTCCCTTCCAACTCTATGATTCTATGATTCTTTGACTCCATGAGCACATAAGCTTACTCTCCTTGGCTGTCATAACCAAATCCTGTGTCATTGTTGAAGAGACACCAAGGAATGTGGGCCTGGAACTTGTGGGATTAGCTTGAAATGATAGTCACTATATTACTCAAAATGGAAAAGTTGGCAACTGCTAACCTCCTGTGTTTTATTCATATTAGGGGGATCCTGGTGAAGATGGTAAACCAGTAAGTTTTGCTATGTTTGTGTCTCAATTTTAAAGATAAACTCTTTATGTGCAATGGATATAATTGTAGAGTACTGTGGGTCACTAGTTTCCTGAAATGTGTTTGCATCAGGGAACAGAGAAACTGTTGTCCTGTCCAGTTTTTGATGTATACAAATACATTTACTTGCTGAGTCAGTGAATCCTTGTGGGTGAGCAAGAGAGGGAAAGATAGAGGAATTGATCAAAGTGTTTGAGTGAGTGTGTGTGTGTGTACGTGTGCGTACAGGGGGGTTCTAGTACCTGTATTTACACATAAATTATCAGACTAGTTTATGAATACTGTTTACGTATCTTGAAATAAAAAGCTGCTCACCAATTCTTGGTACATCCATTGTGAGATTGTAATGCTTAGGCATTAACACTCAGTTATAAATACTATGGACGCTGTCCACCACTTCCAGTCCTGAAGCTGTACCTACAGGAGGCATTCTCCTTGGGGCTGAATGGTGTCCTTCAACACTGCATTATGGCCAGCCATTACGGGGGGTGGGAAGCCTTTGTATACCAGCCAACATGTTCCTCTCCAGCACAGTGCACACCACCTACTCGTATGCACGGTATGGATAACCCATGTACATAAAATTGGGCTATGGGGTATCACTATGCATAGATCCTCCCTTTCCAGATAATGTCTGAGTCTATTTTAGTACACTTGGTGCTATATATGGGTTGCCAGTCACTGGTGAGTTAGAGGGAATCATCAGTGTGAGGAAAAGGATTCCATTGGCCCCTGTTTAAATCTGGAAGGGGATGAGTAGTGTCTTAATTGCTGCTCATGGGACTGCACAGGTACCGTACAGACACAGAAGATTACAGAGCTTTTTGGAGTGCTAGGCATTTCCCCTCCCTCCTCCAATGTTTTTTTGTTAACTCAGCATCACAGGACAAGGGAGGGTTAGCACCATATACCCTCAGTTCTCTCTTCACAGTCACAAAAAACAGACACATTTGAGTCATTTTCTATATCGTACCATGTAATTTTAAGTGTCACGGTGTCTCCCCTGCCAGGTACGTGTCACATACTTTCTTCTAAAGCCAGGATGGCTCCAAAAGCCCTTTCTTGGAAGTGTGCAGATCGTGCCATTTTTATCAACAATTTGATGATTTCTCCTTCTGCTGTATCAGTCTGGGAGAAAGGGCATACTGTCTCAGAATGCCCAGTGTGCAGGCAGTGCATACCTAAAGCACATTCAATAGTCAGTTATAGTCAATGGTCCCCATGGGGTATAATGGAAAGTTAATCCGGGGGTATCTGGGGCTCGAGGGGGGGCTTTTTTGAGGTAGAGGCACCAAATTTGGAGCATAGTTGCTGGTACCTCTCCTTTGCCCCCAACCCCCAAACGGGCTTGAAGTCCCTTTAAACACTTCCAAATGGTGATTACATCCAGAAGGCATTTAAAGAGACTGCAAGCCCTTTAAACACCTTTGGAATTCACTTGCTGCAGAGTCACGCTGCTTGGAGAAGACATTTAAAGGGACCACAATCCCTTTAAATGCCCTTTGAGTTCAGCTGTCCAGCGGTGCCCAAAAGTTTGATTTTTTGGGGGACTATTTGGGGGATTTTGGGGGCTTGGCCATTTTGGATAGCTGAAATGTAGCCCTAATTTAAAACCAGCTTTTAAAATACCTGAAAAATACTGGTAAGGTATTTTTGGGGTATTTGTTTTGGCTCAGTTTCTAATATCTACATTTGACTGTACCAGTTGATGAACAGTGGTTACAGGTAAACACAATCTTGTTTTATATTTTAATGAAGTCTTTTCTGGCTGCATCGACACAATGGTGATTCTCATTGTTACTTTAATTGCTGCTGCAAATGCAGAGACATTCATAGGAGCAGTACAGCATCTGAGTCGCATTCTGGGTAGAGCAGATGCACCAGGCGCTTTTACTCTACACAGGGCCTCTGGGATGCACAAATACAATCACAATCAATGTTGTGTTCAGGGCAGAGCCTGGTGCATCTGTTCTACCTGAGGTCTCCAGGTTTCACAAATGCAATCACAATCAGTCAAGGCAAGATATAAGAGTAAAGTTGATAAACCAGTACAGAGTCATGGAGCCGAAGGTTCAGTCCAAAGATTGGGGGAAACAAGAAGGTTTGGAGTCAAGGGCCAGGGCAGGAGATGGGGTCTGGATTTTTAGCTGGAAAAGCAAGCACAGGTTAACAGGACAGGGTTCAAGACAATGAGTCAGCTCACAGAGGGGGTGGTGAGCAAGGTTGCTTCCACACCGAGCCTTGTTCAGCATGTTTCTTTTATCTGCCTCATTAACTGACTCATCCCCCAAAGCCAGGTGTTGCTACTTACCAGCTTGTCATACCTGCTCCTGTAATGAGACTACTCCAGGAACCAGCACTGATCGCTGCTGTGCAATTAAATGGGCACTTTTTCATCTCTCTTGGGCTGTCAAACACTCTCTGTTTTCTGCACTCTGCTAGTTCAGGAGAAGCCCGCAGTGACTGTCACTCTGATCTCTGTCCCATTTCTTTCATCTCCTGCCAGAATGAGCAACTCTTACTTCTTGACACTTCTTTCGCTGGATCTGCTTCTAGGCCTAGCTGCTCAGGCGGGCATTCCACTGGTGCAGGGCCTGATTCTTCCATTTCCTCATCCTCAGAGGAGGAGGCAGCTGGCTGGCACATGACAATCTGCACGATTGGTTTCGCTGTGAATTCTTGCTCTACTCCAATTATCTTGTAGCTTAACTTTCCCATTCCTTTCCAGGCAATCAGGACAAAATTTTCCTGTTCTTTCCCCTTTTTATTTCCTCAACAAGAAGAGATGTAGACATATTTTTTAAAGATATAAAAGCTGGGAATCTATAAGACCTAGCACATTATGGTAATAGACTGTTATAACAATATCACAATATAGTACAATAGAAATTACCTTTACAAAAAAAAAAAAAAGCCTTCCAGTGGGACGGCCGGAAAAATGGCAGCCACAAAAGGCTGATGTAGGCAGGTCCTTTGAAAATGCACACCTTCCTGTCCAGATGGCGTGCAAATGCATTGGACAACATTCTTCTAAAAAAGACGGTAGCACAGTATGTTTAGGAAACATTGGAGAAAAACAAGGAAAAACCTGGAAGGTCAGTTATTGGAAGACAGTGTTGTGTAGATGTTAAGAAAAAAAAAAAAAGGTGTTCCAGTTTATATGCAATCACTGACAATTTTGACACAGGTGATTTGGCCCAGGTTTAATGCTCTTTGGAACTAGGTCTTTTTCCTGCTTCCCCACAACATTGTGGCTTATCTGCCCCCCTCCGTGTTTCTCTGTCTTTTCTCCAATCCTTCTTAAACACTTTGCTGTGAAGTTTGGTGAAGGACTGCAGCAAAACCTAGATGACTGCCATGTGGATATAGAAGTTTGGATTTTCCCGGTCCTACCCACACGGCAGCCATTTTCCCTGTCCCTGCAACCACTGTTTCCCCCCCACACACACACAGGGTGGCCTTTTTGCTTTTTCAAAATAAGCAGTTGACTAACATTACAACATTATAACCAGTGTTCCCTCTAAACTGAGTTAGTGTGAGCTAGCTCACAATTTTTTAGCCTCTGGCTCACACAGTTTTGCCTGAGCTCAGGAAGGATGACTCCAGAGCAAACTGATTTATGCGGTAGCCAAATCGCTCGCTCACAACTTTAATGCCGGTAGCTCACAAAGTAGGATTTTTGCTCACGAGACTCCACAGCTTAGATGGAGCGTTGATTATAACCATCTATGTTGTTTCTTTGATTTTTTTTAAAAATACATCTTTTTTAAATACATTTTATTGGTTTTATACTCTAATTCCTACTTCCTAAGGGTAAAGGATAAGGAGAGCATACTATTTCTAATTTAAGATTTGACGTTGAGTTACAGATTCATAAATCACTCCTGCATTAACATGATATATAAAAAAAGTATGGGAACAGTGAGATCAAACTTCTGTCTGATGAAGATTAATTACGCTAAAGTCAAAAGTTTGTAATCCAAAGTATTACGCTAAAATCAAAAATTTGTAATACAGAGTAAATCGTTTATTTCCTGGGTTTCTTCTTCTTCATTCTTGATACTTTGGGTGCTGCTACTCCTTTCTCGAACTGCTGGAGTCACTCGAGGCATTATCCGTTTCTTCCTCTCTGGGTTCCTCTCCTTCCTCCCTGAGGAAGACACCGAAACAGGAGGCTATCTGGACCTCTGTTGGAGGAAGACTGAACATTTATTCAAAATAGACTTAAAGGAGTCCTGCTTCTTAAAACTTTGGTATAATTAAGGAGGACTGATATTAGTAAAGGGGTTGTGCAGTATCTTTTGTGATATATTAAGAGACGATACTTAGATGTTTTGATATATGATTCTTTCTATGTATTATGGCTTATATGATAAATAATATATGATGAATAAATTGTAAAAATATAAAAAAGAAAAAAAATTATTTGAGATTTTATAATCGTCTGTAGCACGGTATTTGCTGGTTTTTGGTATTTCCTACTTACCGTGAGTCCTATTTTGGTTTTGTGTATCAGCAACTGCAGCAGCCACAGGGAGACTATGCAAGCCAGTTTCCATGTGGAAAACACCTCTGTAAGGACCAGCTGCCTTCAATGGGTCAGCAGAACTTTAACAGTTTACCTTGTTATCAATCCAGAACTTGAAACCAAAACACCAAGTATACCTTTTAGCTGGTCTTCTTAATTAAATTTCTTGGTACATTAAAGAGCTGCACAGAATATGACAGGCTAAGAACATCATATGTATTTGTAGGTAATCATGTTGTTATTTAATGCAACAATTAATTAATTATCGCTAGCACTTTATGACACTGAACTGTTTACAACTGAACTGTTTTTAGATGATTTTATGTGGATTTTAATTGTTATTTATGTATCAAATTGTGTAAGCCACCCTGAGCCTGCCTTCACGGGGAGGGTGGGGTATTAATTAATTCAATCAATCAATCAATAACAAGCTTAGCTGAAATTGGACAAGTCCCTGCTGTGTGCAGTGGGTGCAAAGTAAGCTTAGCTATTCTAGAATGTTACTTTGGTGTGGAGGCTCCAGCTGGAATCATTTGCTGTGAAATGTAAAAAATGACTGTGGGATAACAGCTGTAGATTAATTGCCTTTAGAAATGGACGATGTTTGTGGTTTCATAGTGGTCTTAAAACATAAAAACCAGTGTTTAAAAGAACAAGGACTCCTCCGGCACCTTCAATATGTTAGCCTTTAAGGTCTCACAAATAGGTCTGTTGTTTTGGCTGCAGTACACTAAGCCCGCCCTCTGGAGGGTTGAAACGGCTCATGATGCTCTACAGGACATGGCTAGTCGGGTTTTATTTAATGAATTTTTATTTAATGAATTAAATTTAGGCAAACCAAAACAATAAGTATTCCAAATGTGTTACTAGAATTTATCAGGGTGTATAAGCACATTTTCTATTGCAGTGTCTACATTGGTTCTTTTGCCATGTATGAGTCAAAGTCTTTAGTGAAAATGGCCAGTATTCATATGTTGTGTGGTACTTCTTGGCAAAGCTTAGTCTTAGCAGATGTTCACTATTTTCTAATTGATCTTGAGGCAGCTGATCTTGAAGCAAAGGTAGCTGGCGCTACAGCTGTTCTTTTGGGACAGTTCATCTCAATGTGGCTTCCATTTTCCCTGCACAGTGTATGCCCTTATGTCTGTGTCTGCTTGCAAATAAAGGCTTTATATTTGCTTCTGTATCGCTCTCCTGTGAACATCCAGGCCTGGTTTGACCTTTCATTTGTTCCTTGTGCAGGGTGACATTGGCCCCCAGGGATTCCCTGGGACCCCAGGGGAGCCTGGGCAGAAAGGAGAAAAGGTACGGGCACTGGGTCACCGGAACGTAAAGCAGGTCAAGTTCCCACTCAGCTTTATCTATTTGTTTACAAGGTCTGCATTCTGTTTTTCCACTATAATGGTTCTCAAAGAGTTTCATGAATGTTATTAAATAATATCATTCAAAACAAGAATTTAAAACTATGATCAGCAGTTACCCAGCAAAATATTAAATACTGGACAATTTCCAAAGAGCGATCTGCCTGTGGCTGCTATGTGGTGGGTGTGCACCCAGTGTTCTCAGCCTTGGCATTTTCTCTCTCTGTCCCCAGGGTGATTCAGGCGTTGGCGCACAAGGTCCCCCTGGTCCACCAGGACCACCTGGGCTACCAGGACTCAGTTCTAAACTGGACAAGTTGGTGAGTTCCAAAGGGTCACAAAAAATGCATGGGAACGAATGAGTCCTTATTGCCTGTACCCCATTCTAGGTCATAACCTGGAAATGCTGTACTGTGGTGCCTCCCACGGGCTTCCTGCACTTCTCTGTAGGTGATTGTTTCATTTCCCCTCATATTTATTTCAAAAGGGTAGCTGTGTTAGTGTGTTGCAGCAAAGTATAACAGAAATCAAGTGGCAGCATTAAGACTAAAAAAAAATTCCTTCATAAGCTTTTGTGACTCACACCTCACTTCTTATGATGCAGATGAAATGGATATATTTTTTTGCATAGACTTATATAAACCAAAATCACAATGAAGAGGAGAGTGGGGAGCAGCAGTGCCACAGGTAGACCTGTTGTAAATCCAGTTGTGATTGGTTTTTAAAAAGCTGGCTGCCAGTGCTCGCTCAGGAGGGTGGGGGTGCAAACCTGATGATGGGACAACTGTGGCCATTTGGTTGTGAAGAGGTCCCTGTGTGTCCGTCTGTTGTTACAAAGAACTTTGCTTTTTAAAGAAGTAAAATAAACAATCATTCCTGATCTCAGAGTGGGGGAACCAGCATTGAGCATTGTTTTTTTTGTAGGCAAGTTAACATAGAGTATTTTCTTTCTCAATTATTACCCTACCTTGTACAGTACGTGTCTTTCTGGATCATTTTAATTCTCGCACTTGTAAACCTAGCAAGGCAGTCAGAAGTAGGCAGATGTGCTGTTTTGAGCCATGCTACCTTTTGCTCCGGCAGCATTTACCCTGACCTTCATGGTACATTCGTGTGCATTTCTTCCAGACATTTATTGATATGGAAGGCTCTGGCTTTGGAGGTGACTTGGAAAGTTTACGGGTGAGTCTGTGGAGCTGAAGAAGCGTTGCCTTCAGTGGGTTTTCCCCCCTCGGGAGGTGATGTGCAGTATACTTCTCGGAAGTTAAGCAGGTTGTGTGTACTCAGTACCTGGGTGTGGCAGCTCAGTCAGTGGAGGACTCTCCCAGTCAGAAGAGGAAGTCTCTGATGTGTTCAGACTAGAAATAGGCGCGTCACCTGCCTTGTTTGTGGTGTTTCAGGGCCCCAGAGGACCTGCTGGGCCCCCCGGGCCTCCTGGAGTGCCAGGCTTGCCAGGACAACCTGGGAGATTTGGAGTGAACAGCACGGGCCTTCCAGGGCCACCCGGGCTCCCGGGAGTGCCAGGCAGAGATGGCAGCCCAGGACTTCCTGTGAGTAAAGGGCTCGTGCCGGGAGAAACAACTGAAGACCATATCATGTGACCATGTCTCCGGATCCTGCCCGGGCCCCCCCCCCCACATCGTTGGTTCTGTGTTCAGCGATCAGCATTTCAGATATACATGTGCGCTAAAGAAATGTTTTTTGTCAGCTGCTGTCAGACCAGAAAGGCTATTGCAGTGAGAGCATGTCCTGTGGCTGGCCCACAGTGTTACATTGATCACATCTTCTGACTGCAACCAGGAATGTGTCTTTGACCAATGGATGAAAAGAGGCAGGCTTGTGAAGATAGGAAAATCGGACCTTCAGCCCTGCTTCAAATCAATGTGGCAAACATGCCAATATATCTGCCAGCGAGCTCCACCAGAAACGAAAAGAATACTCCTAAAGTGATTGCAAGATATAATAACGCGAATAGTGCTTTAGTATGGTAGAGTAATCCACGGGTCTTGTAGTTAATGACAATCTTAAAAAATGGTGTGTGTAACAGAGCAAAACCACACACTGAATGCATGTCTGTATCAAAAATCCAATGGCTGCTTTTCCTTGGAAGGGGACGCTGTTGAGACCCCCCCCCAGTTTCTCACTCCTCCTGCAGAGTTCTAGACACTTTTCCTCTCATGCAAACACACTTTAGAACCCGAGGGGGGGGTGGGGGAAGCAGTTTAAGGGAGATGGTTTGAAGTAGAGACCTGGCAGTTGGATAAACTGTTATGCTCCCTGCCAGAGCTGCTTTTAAGGGAAAGCAGCTGTAAAGTGTGTTTTTCTCCAGTTCACGTAACATTTAGTATTTTTCACAGACAAGAGGCACTTTTCTTTTCTAATGTTTTCCAGGGACCTCCTGGTTCTCCTGGAAGAGATGGCATCCCTGCCCAGCCTGGGGCCAATGGAGCAGCCGTATGTATCCCTTCTGTGCACATTCCTTAGAAGAAAGGCCAGAGTCGCCGAGTCTTTAGGGTCAGCCTGCTAAGCTGTCTCTGGCTTGGGATTTGCTGTGTGAAGCTCTCTATGTGATTTTTCCCCCTTCTCTGTTTCCAGGGAGACCCAGGAGAACTAGGCCTTCCAGGAGCACCCGGACCCAAGGTGCAGTAGCTCATCATCCTTTGCTTCTAACTTTGCAACAGTATCCATTTCTGAGGCTTTAGCCTGTGCAGTGAACCAACATCCAGGATTTTGCAATACATTCACTGTATTGATCTATTAAGAGATCCCCAACATGGGGCCCGTGGGCACGTACCACCCACCGGCACCTTTCCTGGTGCCCACCAAGTATTTTTTAAAAGTGGGCGGGGCCAGGTAGGGCTTCTGCCTAGCAAGGCTTCTGATTGGCCGTTGGAAATTTGATTGGCTGCACAGATTTTTGAAAACGTTGCTTTGGCAGCCCCTGTCACCACAACACAAGGTTAGAATCATAGAACCATAGAAGGGTTGGAAGGGGTCATACTGACCCTCTAGGCCAACCCCCCTGCCCAATGCAGGACCAGCCTAAAGCATCTCTGACAAATATCCATTCAGCCTCTTCACGAAAGCTGTCGGTGAAGGGGAGCTCACCACCTCCCTAGGCAGCTGATTCCACCTTTGAACCACTCTGACCGTGAAAAAGTTTTTCCTAATATCCAGCCGATACCTTTCTGCATGTAACTTAAACCCGGTGCTTCGGGTCTTATCCTCTGCTGCCAACTGGAACAGCTCCTTACCCTCCTCCAAATGACAGCCTTTCAAATATTTAAAGAGAGCAATCATGTCCCCCCTCAATCTCCTCTTCTCCAGACTAAACATTCTCAAGACCCTCAGTCTTTCCTTGTAGGGCTCAGTCTCCAGACCCCGGATCATCTTCGTCACTCTCTTCTGCACCCTCTCGATTTTGCCCACATCCTTTTTGAAGTGAGGCCTCCAGAACTGCACACAGGACTCCAAGTGCAGCCTGACCAAGGCAGTATACCGAGGGGGCTATGACCTCCTGTGATTTCGATACTATGGCCCTTTTAATACAACCCAAGACTGGATTAGCTTTTTTTGCCATTGCATCACACTGACTGCTCATATTTAGTTTATAGTCCACTCTTACCCCAAGATCTCTTTCGCATACACTGCTCCCTAGAAACATATCCCCCATCCGGTATTTGTGCTTGACATTTTTGTGGCCCAGATATAATTTATCTTTGTTGAATTTATCTTTGTTGAATTGCATCCTGTTCGCAACTGCCCACTTCTCCAGAGTATTCAGGCCTTGTTGAATTTTAACCCTACCTTCTTGGGTGTTTGCTACTCCTCCCAAATTTTATGAGTAGCCCTTCTACCTCTTCATCCAGATCATTGATAAAAATATTGAAAAGTACCGGGCCCAAAACAGAGCCCTGCGGCACCCCGCTGGACACCTCCCTCCAGTCTTATGAAACGCCATTGACCACCACTCTTTGGGTGCGGTCCTCTAACCAGTTCCCTATCCACCGAACTGTCCTATAGTCCAGTCCACAGTCTTCCAGTTTTCCCATCAGAATGTCTTGGGGAACCTTAGCAACAGAGTTCCCATGATCCAGTAAGCTCGTCACACAATCAAAGAAGGAAATCAGGTTGGTCTGACAAGATCTGTTGGGGACGAAACCATGCTGACTTCCCCGGATCACTAAGTGGTCCTTCAGATGCTTACAGATTGATCCCTTTAAAATCTGCTCTAATATCTTCCCAGCAACAGAAGTCAGACTGACCGGCCTGTAGTTTCCCGGGTCATCCTTCTTCCCTTTCTTAAAGATTGGGATAACATTCGCTCTTCTCCAATCTTGTGGCACATCCCCAGTCCTCCAGGAGGCCTTGAAGATGATGGACAGAGGCTCTGCAAGTTCATTAGAAAGTTCTTTGAGCACTCGTGGGTGCACACCATCTGGCCCAGGGGATTTGTATTCGTCCAGTGCAGCCAGGTGCCTCTCCACAACCTAGATGGGCCATTGGCCTGATCCAACATTGGCTTCTCTTATGTTCTTAAATAGAGGGGAAGGGAAAATGAGATGCTGCTGCAAGTCCTTCTGGGTCCCCTGTTTGTTATGTTCTAATATTTTCTCAGGTCTCGCTGATTCAGTGGTAATAGGTTTTTAAAAAACCAACAGATTAAGGATATAATTTTTAATAAAGAAGCTGGAAAAGCTCATCTGCTTAAGCAGAACACTTCATTCTGTTTATTCAGTTAAGGTATGATGTGAGACGTACAAGAAATAAAGCATGTTTGTGTTCCTTTGATCTTTAGAACTAACTTTTACTATTATTTCATTTTGTGCAGGCACAAAAACATTTCAGATAAGCATGTGTCCAACCACACAGTTCCTCTGATGGAACAGGATTTCCATTTGCAAATGAGGGCAACGATTCCTCTCTTCATAGGGAGACCCCTTATTTGTACCCAGTGCTATTCCTGATGATGTGCTAGCCTGCAGGAATGGGTGGGGGTTAGTAGGTTGTCATAATAGGGGGAAAGTCCTGCTCCACAAAGTCTGTGGGTGGGTGGATACATGCCAATATTTTGGGTTGTGGCTTGAGTTTTCTGAAAGATGTGTTGTTCTTAAATCATAGCCTGTTTTCTTTCTATTACATACATTCTGACAGTGAAGAAAATTCAACATTTACATGCTTGCTTTGTGTAGTTACACATGTAGTATAATTACACTGCAACTGATATGAACATTAGACTACAGAGTAAAAACGAGGAATATATGCAGTTTGGGGATGACATGCATACAACTATACATGAAAAGGCAGCATTGCAATAATTTGTTCTGCAAGTATTGCATGTAGTGTTCTACTAGGAGGCTCACATTGCTTACTTTCTTACATTTATTCACACAAATATGCATTTATGATATGCTTGCATTTTTAACATGGGCTGAGCGTGAAATCCTGAGGCTCAAGACAATGCACTTGCACATCTGCCAGTTTTGTTTTAAGATTCTGACATGCTCATCTGTGGCTATTCTTACGTTATCTGCTGTGTTCCTGCTCTTCCTTCTATTCAAATTCCTTTCTCCTTTTTCCACTCCAGGGCAGCAGAGGAGATGCAGGGTTGCCCGGAGCACCAGGGGAAACTGGCCTGGCAGGACTTCCAGGGCCCATGGGTCCCCGAGGACCGCCTGGACCTCCTGGTCCACCTGGGCCAGGCTTCGCACCTGGAATTGTGAGTCTGAGATGGACTTTGGCATGGGTCCAGTGGAGGGACAGCCACCAGCCACCTCAAAAGTGCAGATTGTCACAATTGCCCTGGCAGGCGGGCAAGGCACGGAGTATCCAGTAAACACAGACAGAGTTCAGGGCACCAGAGAGGCAGAGAAAACAAACACAGTCCAAGATATCAAATTACTTGCAGAGGTTCAGGGTTACCGGAGCTTCGTAGTTAGAGGTGTAAAGCCATTGTCCAGAGTCCGGTTACAAATTCCAGGGTCGAGGAGCCAGAAGACAATGTCATGCAGTCCGTAGTCCAAAATAGCCGAGGGAGTCAAACAGGTAGTCAGGAAACCAGATGCAAAGTCAGAGGTGCTGGGATGTAATCATGCGATCAGTTGCCAGCACAAGGTGGATAGTGAAGAGGGCTTCCTTAAAAGCCCGTTCCCTGTGTCATTAATTACTGGCTGATTAATGAGTCCTGGCTCCAGTTAATACTCTGGACTCAGAGTACTTCTCCCACACATGCGTGCTTCTCTACGCTTGGTTGTCAAATCCCATCTCCTTTGGTCTCGTAAACAAGCTACAGGTGGAGGGGAAGCAGGGGGTATGGAGCTGGTGCTCGCTCAGCAGGAGCGGCTCCAGGTGTGAACCCTTCTGGCAGTCGGTGTTCATCCTCTGCAAAACTTACATCCAGGGGTGCAGGGAGCTCTTCCTTGGAGGAGGAAGATGCAGAGTCCTCGGGATCAGGGTCCACTGGGTCGGGTGGCATGGTGGGCATGACACAGATTAGCATTGTAAAAGTAGCCATTTATGGCTTGCACTTTAGGGGCTGTTTTGTACTCAGTTGACAGGCCTTGATGAGTGGTCTGGAATAGGACTCAGGGGTGCAAACTCTGAATGCTGAAAAACACGAATAGTTAGTCTTCTGCAATTATTGTAATTATGTATAGAGCATTCAACATGTGTGGTGATTTACAGAGAAAAATAAGTCTAAAATTAAAAAATGGGGAGGCGATAGAGGGAAGTAGATGGGGGCAAAGATCAAAATGGTGAAAGGAAGAATTTTGGTTTTTTTTAATTCACAGGAAGTAACAGTAATAATTGTGAAGCTCTTTTAGTTTATCCTCTTTGTGACAAACAAGTCATCACCAATGGGCTTTCTTCTGTGGTTGCCTAATATCAAGGCGCGTGTCTGCTAGGTGCATGCGTAGTGTGTTTTCTGTCCTGACACATATCTGCATGAGTCTGTCTGTAGACTAAGGCCATCTGTTACTACTTAGGACGATATGGAGGGCTCAGGACTGCCATTTGTTTCTGCTGTCCCTGGAGCACGTGGACCAGAAGGGCCGCAGGTAACTCATCCCTTTTCTTTCTCTACGACTGAAGTCTGATGAGCACGCTTACTTGGAAGAAGGAACTAGTGAATGCAGTGGGACTTGCATTTGGATAAATATGCCTAGGATTGGACTGCAGCTCAGTTAAATGTCTATGTGGATGAAGTGTTTATCCTTTCATGTTAACAGTTCATGTGACATGGTCTCTGCTACCACTGGTGATAATGGAACGCAGCCTGGAGAAAGTTATGCTGATCCCTGGCTGGAAGTGCCATTACAGCTTCTTGGCAGGTGCTTGACCTAGAGCCAGTATCTATCCCGGTGGCAGCACAAGACTTTTCTCCTGTCGCTGCTTCCTATTGGAGAACTCTGCCCTGCTCTGCTGCTGCCACTCTTGAAGAAGCGAAAGCAGACCAGGAGATGCTGAGGCCACGGAATATCATTTTCTTCATAGTCAACAGTGGAGTGTGAAACTCAAAAGACAGGCCTTGTCTGTAGATAACAAACTGAGTAGAATATTTCATACAGGATACAACATTAAGTAATGCTAATACTCTCAAGATAGGTATAACTAAGTCTGAAGGGGCCATGATCTCATGACATCTGGTAGAAACTGGTTAATGACTTCTCCATCTTCTTCTTCTTCTTCAGGGGCCACCGGGACTTCCAGGGCTCAAGGTCAGGAAGTGTTTCAATTGTGTGTTGTCTGGTACAAATATGGCTTGAATTGCATTAAGACAGGATAACCCATGCTGATGTCAGTCGATTTCTTTTGCTGATCTGAACTCCCTTCCCTCTGTAATACATATTTTGTTTTCATGATTATCTTATGTAGATTAGTATATTTTCCCCAATAGGCCAATTTGATTAGTCCACTTTACAATGCAAGAAAGTAGGTAAAAATAAAATGCAGAGGGTAGAACGCCAGTGCCGTGTGTTATGAGCCGTGGCATCACAACAAAGCCTTCTGGTTACATCAGATTGCCATTGCACTGGCCCAGCAGTTCAGGGTTTTGCACATCTGTCATGCCAGATGTGGGCAGAGAGAGGTTAGCTAGAGAAAAGGGCAAGGTGGATGTATTATGACACCAAGATGAGGTTATCCCTCTCATGTGATGTGGCTGTCATTAAACGTGGTTATTGACCCCAAAACATGAATGCCTGTTGTTGTGGTCCAGTGACGTTATGTACTAAATACAGACCAAACAACACAGTGTCACAGATGCTACCTCACTGACACTGATGTATCTCTAAACCACAAAAAGGATAGGAGTGACAGGAGAGGTGGGTGGAAATGCAAATTTTATAGAACAAAAAATTTACATTTTTATAAATCTTATGAAGATTTATTTCTTTAAAAAAAACTTTCAGGGGGACACTGGCAGTTCTGGTGTGCCAGGAGAGAAAGGAGAAAAGGTAAGTCTGTGTCACACAGCTTGAGAAATATGTTCACACTTTTAAGGAATGCTTCATCTGTATTATTAAAATAATTATGAATGGGAATTGAACTGGGTCACTGAATGGCATTTGCACTATTCCATGTCGATTCCAGGGAGAACCAGGATTGGCAGGACTGGATGGTCGGCCTGGACTAGAGGGTTTCCCGGGGCCACAGGTGAGCATCGGGTTCAGTGCAGTGACTCTTCTGAGGTTCTCATTTCAGGAGATTTACTAACATTTGTATGGAAATTTGTATTTGTTCTTAAAAATTCTTTTCAAAAGGTTCTGGTCCTTGGATCAGAGAAATTAAGGTCTTCCTGGAATGACTTGTGTGCATATATTGCTGTAGTAGAAAAGTACTGCAGAAAATTCGCATTTGGTAATTAAAACAAAGCCTTTATTCATTTGGACTCCCTGGCATTCTCTCCTCCCCTCACATGTATGGTTTTTGCCTGCATACACTTGACAGAGAATAGCAGTGTTACTTTGTTTATCTGATTATGATGCTTGGATATGTGTAACTATTATTATTTATAGCTTTCAGTGCACATCATGATTATTTATCTGCTGTATTTATAGAATTCCTTTCAGCCAGCCGGCACTTTTGATGATAAGAGCCATTTAGAGTGAAATCCTGTAAATCGGCTGGGGGAGGGGAGGCCTTAGGGCTTCTCCTCTCCAGCCCCGTAGATGTTCTGCCTGCTGCTGTTTCTTTTCCTTCTTCATTGGGTCAGTGGCTAAGCCAAGGGAAAAGGACACGCGCAGAGAAGAGATGCTGGAGACGCTGATCTTTCTTCTTCGGCAAAGCCTCTCCTTATCTGGTTTCAGGTTCTGTTTGGCAGTTGCAGAGGCACTGAAGAAGGGTGCTGTCTGGTCCTTTCCCCCATCCCTGTAGAGGCTTTGGCGGTTGCTGTTTTCCTTTTCTCAGAGTCTGCAGCAAGGCCAAGGGAAGCAGCAGATCTCTTCAGCATTAGAGGGTGATCTTACAGTATTGATTGCATTCATCCCTAAATAGAAAGATTCCTCATTTACTGGAGGACAAACTGGGTCATGGTAGTTCACCCGAAGCCATCCAGTGAGTCCATGACTATTGTCAGAGTTCAGCACAGGACTCCTGGAACTCAGTCCAGGCCCCTCCCCCCCCGGTCTGCTGGATCATGCTGGTTGTCTTCTGCATCACCAGACTCTGTTCTTCAAAGTATTTCCTTTCTGATAATGTGCTCATCTCCTTGTGCTTCTCCTTTTAGGGGGTGAAAGGTGACAAAGGAGACTCAGGGGATAAAGTAAGTACCTTTCTGGATTTAAGGAGAAACTGCTAGTTTGTGGGTTACTTTAAAAATGTGGATTCCAGTTGCCAAACAGCGGCTGCGGTCACACGGAGCATTAGCCATGCTGCAGAGACAGAAGATAGGCGGATTTTCTGGGAGCGATCACACTGCCACATCTGAGAAGTGTAGAGCTCCCGTGGCAAACCCAAGGCTTCCCGCCGAAGATGTGCGGTAAAAAACTAGTACCTCGGAGGTACTAGTTTCCGGAAACCGCGGGGCAAGGGCAGGCGTCTGATCGCGTTTCCGGTGGTAGTTCCGGCACCCGCCCATGTCCCCTCGCAAAAAGCCCCCCCCCAAGTCTCCACGGATGCACACAAGCACCTAATGGAGCATGCGCACACTTCAGTTTTAAAAAAACACAACAACCCCGTTTGCCCCACACCCCGCTTCTTTGCCGCGCCGCAGGACTGTGGAGTGATCGGCACCTCCCCCCTACCACGGGACCTCCACGGTAGGTCTGCTTGCACAACTGCACGTTATTTAGCCCCGGGGCAAACAGCCACACTTCCCCCCCCCCCGCATTTTCCTGCCCGTGTGACCGCAGCCAGAGACTTTATTTTTAATCTAGTGTTAGGCAACGTACCCTTGTGCAAATAAAGTAATCTAACAAATTCCACAACTCCCCCAGTTTCCAAGCATGTGCATCTCTACCTTTGTTTCAACGGCTACCATGGTCTGTTATCTCTGGGGCCGAAGGAGTCTCCACGCAAGAGGGGCTTCCTATGGAAAACGGAGAGAGCTGCCGGGCAGGAAGGTGCCCATAGTGAAATGTATTTCATTGGCTATTCCCCGTTGAGTTCTCCAGACGATGGTAGTGGTTTGTGTAAAATTTTAATCTAGTCTTAATAGGAGATTGGGGTTAGTGGATAGACATGATTTATTGTACTTTTTAACATTTCAGAGAAATCTAGTTTGGCACACTTCATAATTTCAAAATCTTGTTAAAATCAGAGCTTTTCTCCTCATGCACACATTTTTCAGAGCTTCAAAAACACGCTGGCCAAAATGCATGCAGTCAAGAAGGCCTAGAACTGAAAACTCTAAAACTGTCCACTACTTTTGCTTTTGAGGGTGAACGAGGTCGAGCTGGAGTGGGATTGCCCGGCCCCCCTGGGCCCCCCGGCCCTCCCGGACAAGATACCTACACTGCCTCCAGGGACGATGTAAGGATCTCTCTGTGTTTCCCCGTGCTCAGGAATCATGCGACCTCCTTAATTTGCATTTTTAAAATGCAGCCATTTTTGCTCCAGGGATATTGGCTAGAATATTTGCTGTTAGTTCTAAAGAGATTATTTTATTCTAAATAGTTACAGCTAGCAAGCCATTGATACTGCAGGATCAGCTGGCTATTTTAAATCTCACTTGGTAGAGAAAATTAATACATTTAGGATCATATACATATAGATGACTTCAGTTAAATGCCTTGATAGAGATTATTGTATAAAGCACTATAGGTGACATATAGTGCCATCCTAAGCAGAGTTATACCTTTGTAAACCCATTGAAGATAATAGACTTAAGAAGAGGTAATTCTGCATAGGATGGCACTATTGTTAAACCTTGCAAGGTCTTACAATTGTCCACTGTTGTCCTTTTAAATTTAAAAAGCAAGAGATGCATACTCAGGATCTTTTAACAGTTATGGCATAGCTGGGATATGTGACAGGAGATCCTGCATATGCTCTCTTAAGCCGGGGTCAAATCAAATAATTGTGTGTCTAAGTCTAGCATTCAGTGCAAGACTCCAATAACCAGGAGGCCTTAAAGTCATCCGTCAGAAATAGGCTGGCAGACCGTGATCGGTTGCCTGTGGCCCATCTAGTTTCTCTAGTAGAGAGATTTGTTGCTTGAGGTTTCTAGTTTGGTACCGGCTCTAAAAAGGATAACACATCGAAGTTCAATGGAAAGAATGTACGGCTTGAATCAGCATTTTGTTTGTTGCTTTAAAATGCTCTGCCAAAGACTATGAAAAAAGAAAACAAAGGTCACATTTTTAACATATGATTTTATTTTTTAGAGAAGCTTGTCTAGTGTCCTAGGCCCAGAAGTAAGTAATCTACAATTATATGTAAAAATCGAGAATATAAAAAACTGACAAATGATAGCATATCTGATGACTATCATAATTTGAGTGACGTTGTCACATATCGGGTGTGAGGGAACTTGTTTCTCAAGTACACAGGGCCCCAATTCAAGTTGAGGTTATGGCATGAGGGAGTTTGAGACCTCCCCCTATGTTGTTTTCCTCATATGAAAAGACTTTGGGGGTTCTATTTGCCCGATTGGTGAGTTGTCCCATTGGGGGGCTACCTGTGCACTGATGGGAAACGTGTGCAGACTAGGGTTACCATGCGTGGGCTGGAAAATACCTGGAGTCTTTGTGGGTGGATCCAGGAGAGGGTGGGGCCTCAGCATAGTACCATGTCCTACAGTCCACCCTTCAAAGCAGCCATTTTCTCCAGGGGAGCTGCTCTGTGTCAGCTGGAGGTCTGTTGTATAAGCAGGAGATCTCCAGGCCCCACCTGGAGGTTGGCAACTCTAGTGCAGAGCACAGTGGGGCAAATACAGTACCCCCAAGTGCCATTTCAGGTCAGGAAATTGGTATGTGAGGGGGAGACTGAAGCTGCTCCCCCCTGAGCGGTGGTCACAATCCAAATAGATGGCATCAATGGGCAAGAGTTAAATTCTTCTGAAATAGATGAGTGGATGATTACTGCCACAGCATCTCATGCACAGTTCTTTGAGTGTGCTGCAATTAGTGTGTCAATCATTTCCAGAACCTTTCTGATCCCCCCCCCATTAAATCCTGGGTTCTAGACGCATTGCAGTGATCAGCTCGGGTTTATTCAGTGATTTCAGCAAACTACAAGACAAACTAGCAGGGCTGGAGCCCTGCTTATAAAGCATGCAAAATACCACGCCCAACACACCCACCCACTCCCAGTGATAGGCTATTTACATTACACTGCTTATCGATTGGTTAGTTCCTGGATCCAGCTGAGCTATTGTTCTAAAGAAGCAAGCTCTGCCCATTCTAGGTACATCTAGAGGAAAGGTTTAGGCTCAGTACATAACACCCCCTTAAATTTGAACTCAGTTTAAGGGAAATATGTGCTATATTGTCTTTAAATTTTCCAAGTATTTTTCCAGTAAAATCATTTCCACCTAAAGCTTTGCATTTGTTTGAATATGACAGCCATCGCTCTTGATCTTTGTTCCCCCCCCCCTCAAGTATTTGTTGCTCTTGGGAGTAAAAGTAACATGGGGTACTTTTACCATTTTTTTTAACACGGTAAACCAGATGATGCTCTATTTAGGGCATAATTTTCCAGAAATGTTTCTGATTCTAGTTTTCCTAGAAAACCCACGTGACTGTGTATAGTGAAATGAATTGGAGGAAAGCAGGGTTTAGCTCCTCCACATCATGGGCTGTAGTCTTGTTTTTAAAAACTTGACCCCAACATCTCTGCCTTAGACATCTTTTGGATCCCCCCCCCCTCCAATGTCTCGTTTGGTTCTCAGTTAAGCCTTTTTTAGGGCCAGAAATGTCTCCGGATGCATCAAAGGCTGCTGTGGCGTGTAGCCCCCAGGGGGGGGGAATGATTTGTCTTCCCCTTCCCCTCTTCTGGGAGCCCAAGTGACCTTTGCCCACAAGCTGTTTCTCCCGAAGAAAGAAATAACAGCAGTATCTTCACATGCACAGAACATCTCACAGTTTGTACCAATTTCAAATGACTCTTCCTCAGGTAGTTCAGACAGGCAGAATAGATATCTATCAGACTCACACGGACAGAGGTGAGGGTTAGGGTGCTGATTCTGCAGCAACCGCTGTTCCCCGGTCAGATGAGAGTGGCCGCCAGTGGCATTTGTAAACCAAACCAGATCATACCTGTACTACCGAGCACAGGAAGCTTGCTGGGAGGAGCATGTGCAAAAGGTTTATTTTTTAAGGAGCGAGAGGTAAGACTCTGGGTTGGGAAATTCGTGGAGATTTTGGGGCGGAGACTGGGGAGGGCGGGGCTTGGGGAGGGGAGGGGCCTCAGCAGGGTGCAAGGCCACAGAGTCCACCCTCCAGAGTGACCGTTTCCTCCAGGAGAACTGGTCTGTGCTGTCTGGAGATCAGTTGTAATTTTGGAGACCTCACCTGGAGGTTGGCGACCCTTGTCAGAGTGGGTTGCCTGGGGCTGATTTAGCTCTTAGGCAACCATGTGAGTGGCTGTGTGTGTAAACCGGTGGTCAGCCAGGACAGGGAAGAGTCACAATGTACCTGACCGTGAGTTTTAGCTGTCTGGTAAGCATGCTGTTTATTTCTTGCTGGTAAGAATGGTCTCTTGTCAAATAATTAAGAAAACCATTAATGTCCATACTGCATTTAAGAACACCTCCCCCCCCGGTAATTGATAATTCTCACAAATAATATTTTCTGAAGCTATGACCTGTTTTTGTCTTGCAGGGCAAACAAGGGCATGCTGGTTTCCCAGTAAGTATTGTTGAACTAACATTGCCAGTCTTAGAGGCTTGATGTTCATGCTGAGAAAGGCTGCTCTGCTGTAAAACTCTGCAGTTCACTGCTGGGAATTAGGAAAGGTTGTGAAGGAATTTGGTGTCCTGGTAATAAATACCAAGAAACTCTTTTGAAAGCAAGAAGAAAATGGTCGTTGTTTGTTGTTGTTGTTGAGTCTCACAGTCGAGTCTGACTGTTCATGACCCCATGGACCATATCACACCAGACCCTCCTGTCTTCTGTCGTCCTCTGGAGTTTGCTCAATTTCATGTTCATTGCATCTATGACACTGTCTAACCATCTCATCTTTTGCCGTCCCTGTCTTCTTTGACCTTCAATCTTTCCCAGCATCAGGGTCTTCTCCAGTGAGTGCTCCCTTCTCATTTGGTGGCCAAAGTAGTTGAGCTTCAGCTTCAGTCTCTGGCCTTCCAGAGAACAGGGTTGATTTCTTTTAGGATTGACTGATTCAATCTCCTTGCAGTCCAGGGGACTCTCAAGAGTCTTCCCCAGCACCATAATTCAAAAGAATCTATTCTTCGGCGCTCGGCCTTCCTTATGGTCCAACTCTTGCAGCCATATACTACTACTGGGACTAGGTGTTTAGATCATCTTTATAAAAAGTCTGCAGAGGTTACTAACTCTTTTTGCTTTGTTACTAGTCTGATGGCCAACATAGTCTGGTATTTTTTTAACAAAATTGTAAAACATTCCTGTCCGCTCATTTGGAGGAAACTGTAACTAGCCACAGGCAACCAGCCAAAAGGCCATTTAAAGGCTGTACAATTTTTAGAGGAGATCCAATCCATTTTGTTTTTCCCTTCAGAAATGCGTATTATTGCAGATTCGCAACTCAGCTCTGAAAAATACCATTTGATTGAATTAATATATGTTACATAGTTGTACAGCTCAACAAGAAGTGGGGGGATGCTGCTCCAAGCCTCAGCCAGGGGCTTTCCCTCCTAGTGCTGTTCTGGCCAGAGATCCTAATGGATCCTGTAATGCCCAGAGATCCCTAACAGAAAGGTACTAGCTTGGCATGGAGGATTTTTGTTGTTTTTGTTGCTTATTTTTATTGGCAAAGTTGGGCACAACAACTCCAGAGAATGAAAGAAACAAGCCTGGAAGTAGGATGTGTGCATTGGTTTACTTTCTCAGGGCCAAACTAGACATGACCGCATCCTCATGTCCACAAGGATCTTGATCAGGACCCGCAGCACGACAGCCTGAGGCTCTTCCCAGTCTCTGCACCTTATTCAGTGCTGAAACAATCAACCCCCACAGCTGTTTCAGAACTTGAAAAGGCAGGTGGTGGCTGGGGGGCGGGCTTGGAACACTGTGGACCTAATCAGGTTTGGTCCCTCAAGAGTTTTTTGGTGACTTTAAAATGGCAGCAGTGTCCTCGTGGCCATGAGGATGCCGACACATCTAGTCTGTCCCTCAGTGTTGCTGCAAGCAGAGAACTGTGCACACCGTTCCTGCCATGCAGCAATTTCAATAGCTAAGTACTCAAGAATGTTCAGATAAGGCAACTTACTAAATGGGTTTTATCCAGGATTTTCTACCACACCAAAGCTTTTTCTAATAGTCATCCCACTATTTGCCAGCAAAGTCTTTTGTATTATAATAATATAAGGGGGGAAATCCAAACCACATTAAGCCATCCATTCATCGACTACAACGAGCAAGTACTTATGGGCAAAGTGCTCTAACTAGCTGACCCAACAGTTTTTAGATCTCCAACAGGTTAAAAAAACCATTTCTTTAAAAGGAAATAAGTTTTATATTTTTAAAGCAGAATTTCCCCAACTTTTCCCACAATACTCTTTCCTAAAGCAAGAAGATAGTTGTTCCCTGGTGAATGCTTTGCCTGGCCTTATTCACTGTCCGTTTTAAACCAGGGTGAGAAGATCAAAGAAAAGGAGTGGCCTCTTGACCTACAGGAGACTTTAATGGCTGCATATGGGAGGGGCCTGAAGTTAGCAAAAAGCCCACAGAGGAGGGGATTGCTCCATTTAGCTCTGCCACTGAAAATTCCCAAAGCTTGAAGCTCTGATACTGGGGCACAGGCCACAGTGTTGTCATTGGATTAATTCCACCATGGTTGTCTCTGCAGGGACCAGTTGGACCAAAGGGCGACACAGGATCACCAGGTCTTCAAGGGACTCCAGGACTGAAGGCAAGAAAATATTAATCATTTCCCTTAAGCTCTCCTAGACTTACTGCAAAACATGAGCCAAGTAATACCTTTTTATTAAGACCAACCCAAATAATGCGACACAGTGTGTAAGGTTTTTGAGATCTCCAGAATTCTTCTTCAGGCTGGATGTTAAAAAAGGAGGTGGGGAAGAAAAAACGAGTTCAGGACAGGATCTTAAGTTCTCTGGTTGCATCCCTGTGTAGGATGTTTTGCTTGCTTCAGAGGGCAAAGGGTGTGACTAGATGGCATCAGGAATGCTGAGGAAAAAAGCAGAAAGAAACAAACTGAAACCCTTTAATTGACTATTATTGGTCAATTAGTTCCTTTTCCGTAATTGAAATACTGTTTTCTTGAACACCTTCAGTCATGCAGTGACTAATTAGGGATGCCATTTCATTCTTCCCTAGATCTTTAATACTGTCAGCAATCATTCTCCTGGTTAGAAGAATTGTAGTTGATTGGTCCATTGATCGAGGCTGGAGAAGGGCCAGCCCTTCTGGGATCAAGACTTTCAGTAGAGAAGAAAAATATGTTCTCATGAAGCTCAGTGAAACATACAGAGTAAAAAATAAGCTTCATGTAGTATTTCCCACATTTTCATTTTCTTTTGTTCAGAATGTTCTCAGGAGGCTTAGTACTTATGTCTTCATTTAGAAACTGAGACCTGCTTTTAGAAACAAAAATAGGAAGGAGTTTCTAACAGACCCTTATATGGAAACAGCCTTTTCCTATCTCCCTTGTAGAAGTTAACAGACACCTTGCCATTGTCAAAGGAACTAGAAAAGAGGACATTTAAGGCTATTCCAGGCACTATACTGCTAACCTCTTTGGTCCATTCGAGTGTGGGTTGGCTTCTGTGTTAGGGTTTGTGGCTCAAAAATGATGGTCACAGTCACAGAACAGACCGCAAAAAGAAGAAACTGTGAGGTAACTGCGCTAGAAAATATTTCAATAAACAATCACAAAATATATACAAAAATGTGTACAAAAACATATAAATGCACAAGGCAGTTGAAAATGGTGTGACGATGGTTTCCGGAATGTTCTATCGTTTCGATACTATTCTTCCGAAAGTGGATGAAAGCAGCGACTCTTGGTCTGTCATTTCAACAAGTAGGTATCAAAAATTTCATTATTATTCACCAATTCTCATAACTTAGTTGCAAGAAATTCTCTGAAAGAATGTTCCTAGGGCAAAATGCTTGTATAAGGCATTATACAAGCATTTTGCCCTAGGAACATTCTTTCAGAGAATTTCTTTCAGAGAATTTTCTAGCGCAGTTACCTCACAGTTTCTTCTTTTTGCGGTCTGTTCTATGTTAGGGTTGCCAGACCCCCTGGTTTGGTGGGGGTTACCCGCTTTTCGGGAGGTTCTATCACCGCCTGGCCATCTGGCCAGTGGTGAAAGCCCCAACGCCTGTAGCCACCTCTCTCCCTTCTCTCTTAAGAGAGGGGTGGCTGCAGGCCGCGCGCCCGATCTCCGAGCGGCATTGCCTCTCAGAGATTGGGCAGGCGGGGCCCTCCAGCTGCGGGCACTTAAATGGACCCCCTTAAATGCTCGCAGCCGGTGGGACAAGGCCCCGTGCGCCCGATCTCCGAATGGCAATGCCTCTCGGAGATTGGGCGGACCCCTTTAAGTGCACACAGCCGGTGGGACCGTCCCCGCGGGGGTGGGGCTTGGAGCCAGGAAGTCCCTATATGTGATGTCATCATGTTGGGGACACCCCGGCTCCTCGGGGAACCCCCCCCACCAAAGTCCCTCACTTGGGACAAAGATGGGCCTGACAACCCTATTCCATGTACAAACGAACTGCAAGAGCCACACTGAGGGTCCAGTAGATGCTTCTACAACCTTAGAGTCTGGAAAGATGTCCTAGTGGTCATGGAACTTGCTGCTGGCCAGTATGTCCCATTGTCTGATTCATGAACCAATGGGAAATTCAGCCCAGTTTGTAATTCCTTCATCGGGATAATTGTACTAGCTTGTTGCTCCTAACAGCTTTGCTGTAGAACTATACTGAAATTGTTGTAAAGTGATTAAGTTTTGATCAGAATTCTTCCTTCATTCTTGGCTTTTATCATTTGGACAGGGTGAAAAAGGAGAGCCAGGCGTTATAATTGGCCCTGATGGAACTGTCATAGCAGCTCAGGCAAAGGGAGAAAAGGTAGAAATAAAGATATTTTGCCTTCATTTAAAGAGTTCTTATCCAGGTTTGTTCTTCTGCCTTGGGAAGTTAGAAGGATTTCCTCCAGCACTCTCCAAGTTCAGGACAGAGCCCTTCTTAAAGAGAAAGAAGGAATAAGGACTCCTCTCCTGAGCAATTTGTTCTTCTTGCACCTAAGGTTTCCTTTCTTTTGGTGAACTGTGGGAGGCCTACCACTGAATTTCTAGGTCTTCTCTAGGTCTGAATTCTGAGGATGGGGATAGATCCAGTTGGTCAGCCGTGTTGGTCTGCAGCGGTACAACAAATTTAGAGTCCAGTGGCACCTTTAAGACCATCAAAGGTCTTTCGTGTGCACGCACGCTTGATCAAATACGTAGAATTTGATCCATTTGACAAAGTGAGCGTGCACACAAAAGCTCATACCTTGAATAAACCTTTGTTGGTCTTAAATGTGCCCTCACTGGACTCCACTTTTGTTGTACTGAGGGTGGGGAGTGTGTGCCAACACAAAAATGACTGCCATGGGGTGCTGAGGCACTTGCAAAGAAGGTTGCAAGCTAAGCATCCTCCTACAATGGAGGCATCTGTTCCTGAAGATGCAAAGACGATGTCTCCTCAGTTTTTGTGAAGTAGAGGAAGAAACGCTGTGGAGGAGAAGGGAGTGGGTGCCAGGATGCCAGTCAGTAGATACCATGGTACCGACACGGGTGGCACGTTGGGGGAATCAGTCATACAGTATTTTCTAGGACCAGTTAGATGGTATTCTCCAAATTAGGACTTCTGTATTTTAAATATTAATTGCAAGGGCATGAAAAACCTTAACTATCATCTCTTCTAGCAGCAGTGGCTCCTAGTCATCCAAACAAATTAACTAGTGATATGTATTTATTCACTTTTGTCTTTGACAACAGGGCGAGCCAGGGGCAAGAGGACCTGTGGGACCAGCAGTAAGTTATAAATGGTACCTTTGCTTAGATGCATGGAGTTCATGGGCCCAAATGCAAGGACAATGGGGCATTGTTTCATGAAAGTTGTGTGTGTGTCAAGACACCTCCAACTTATGGCAACCTACGAATGAATGACCTCCAAAACATGCTATAGCTAACAGCTTCGCGCAAGTCTTGCAAACTGGAGGCCATGGCTGCTTTTACTGAGTCAATCCATCTCTTTTCCTGTTGGTCTCAACTTTTCCTAGCCTTGTCTTTTTCAGTGACACTTGTCCTCTCATAATGTGACCAAAGTATGATAGCCCCTAAAGTATGATTTAGCTCCTAGGAAGAGTTCAGGCTTGATTTGATCTAGAACCCGCCGATTTGTCTTTTTGGCAGTCTGTAAAACTCCTCCAACACCATATTTCAGATGAATCAACTTACTTCCTGTCGGCTTTCTTTATGGTCCAACTTTCACACCCATATATAGTTGACCCATACATGGGTAATACTACAGTATGAATTATCTTTATTTATATTTCAATTTATATACCGGCCCTTCCCAACAAAGTGGGGCTCAGAGCAGTTCACAGTACTATAAAAACGGAGGTAATAAATATAGTAAAACAGTATAAAATACAGAGTATAAAAAGCAAACAATTTACGACCAATAGTGGTGGATCCAGCATTAAGCCCCAAAAAATACACTTAACCAGGGAAGACCTGACAGGAAAGCTCAGCCTTACAGGCCCTGCGGAATCTAGAGAGACCCTAATCTAAGAGGGCATTGCACTAGGATGGAGCTACAACTGAAAAAGCCCTTGCCCTGTTGGACACCAAGTGTGTGACTCGAGGGCCCAGCAGCACCAGTAGTCATGAGATGACGACCACAGCAGCCGAGGGGGTTGCGAAGGGAGAGGCAGCCCCTCAGGTATGACGGTCCCAGACCACGTAGGGCTTTAAAGGTTAAAACCAACACCTTGAATTTGATCTGGAAACCAATAGGCAGCCAATGCAGCTGCTTTGAGACAGGCTGTATATGCGAAGATCTTCCCGTCAGAAGCCTGGCAGCTGTATTTAGGACAACCTGAAGTCTCCAAAGCACCTTCAAATCTTGATCTTGGACGCCAGCAACGCATCCTTGCACTGAAGGATCTTTTCTAGTTCTAATCTCATTCTCCTGATTTCTTGGTTGCAGTGCCTCTTTAAGTTGTTGATTGAGCCAAGGAATAAAAAAACCCTTAACAGTTTCAATTTCTTCAATGTCAGCCTTGTGTGTGTGTTATGCTGTCAAGTCATTTCCAATTTATGGCAACCCATAAATGTTCAGCTGTTATGAATTAATGACCCTCAAAACATCTTAATGTTAACAGCCGTGCTCAAGTCTTTTAAATGGGGGGCCATGACTTCGCTGAATAAATTAATCTCATGTTGGGTCTTCTTTTCCTGCTATTTTACTTTTCCTAGCAGTGAGTCTCATCTTCTCATGATGTGACTGAAGTAGAATAGCCTCAGTTTGGGCATTTGAGCTTATAGGGAGAGTTCAGGTTTGATTTATGTTCAGCTGTAATCCTGCTTTGGCACTTTCTGTTTTAACCTTCATTAGTAGTGGTGTCGGGACTGAAACTGCCCTACAGGGATGTTGTTCCCAGTCCCAGCACCTGGAACTTCAAGCAACCTCCCCAAAACCTGGCAAAGCCACCAAACCACTTTACCATGAGTTCCAAGGTAATTCCTGCTCATGCAGTAACCAAACCAGATATAATACAAAGATGTTCTATTTCTTTCTTTCTTTATTTTTTTTTTAAAAAATCTATTTATAAAGATGTTCTATTTCTAAGAGACCCAGTTTGGTTTAGTGGTTAGGAGTGCAGACTCTAATTTGGGAGAACCGGGTTTGATTACCCACGCCTCCACATGCAGCTGCTGGTGTGACCTCGAATCAGTCACAGTTCTCTTAGAGCTGTTCTCTCAAGAGCTCTCTCAGCCCCACCTACCTCACAGGGTGTCTGTTGTGGGGTGGGAAAGGGAAGGGAAAGGAGGAACGGCAAACTGTTTAGAATATTGGAGGCGAGACTCAGGCAACGCAGCCAGTGGATAGGGACAGCTTCTGAGTGACAGATCAGGGAGCCAACTGATTTGGGAGTGTGTGGAATGTTCAGGAGAGTCCATGACCAAAAACAGAATTATTATATACAGAAGGATGGCATCGAGGCAGCTGCTCTGACACACAACGCTACGCAAGTGACTTGCAAATTTGTTATTTTATCTTATTTTACGTAATTTATTGCTGGACTTTTATGCAGTATAATTACTTTTCTAAACAGTGGTCTGTAGCAGCATGTTTTTAGCACTATTTTGATAAGTCAAAGGACGTGTGGAGGAGCTTTAGCCTTGAGAGCTTTCCTTTGAGAGTTTTTTGCTCTTCTATATGTGCCAGCTGTTTCCTTTTTGAGTGCAATTTCTTCAGTATATATTATACGGACTGTGAGCCCCTGCCTGCAACTCCAGTTTCCTGCTATTTGGCTTAAATGACAACAACACAGTAACAGGTTTACCTTAAGACAGATGAGAATGAAACTCCAAAAGCAGGGAAGAGAAACGGAGGCTGACTCTCCACCAGCCACTAAGCAAGCCAAGATTGGAGACTACTTTGCGTCTTCTCGTGATGCACCTTCTCCCATCCCAGTGTCTACTCGCTTTGCTCCTTTGGTGGGGATTGCAGATGACTTGATGGAGCTTTCCTCACCGAGCCCACCCTTAAGAACTGCGACTGAAGGAAATGAATTCCCTCTGCCAACATCTTATGGGGGCAGCATAGAAGCACTGAATGAACTTCCAGAGAACCTCTGTCTGCTTACTGCAAGGAGGACAATGGAGTTCATCTTTACAGAGCTCCGTTTATTGGGAAGGGAGTACTGCGAGAAGAGCTGGGTGGGCCTCAGGGCCAACGGGTCAGGAGGGGGAGGAGAGTGCCTTTCGAATCCTGACCTCATAGCACTAGACCCTTCCCCAAGACATGGGGGGGGAGCCATTCACTGGAGCCGTGGGGGCAGAACGAATTCCTCCACAGCAAAGAGACACTGAGCTTTTGGCAGGAAAATGGTGGCAGCCATTTTGCTACTGTTCTGGTATATTACTGTTGGGGTGGGCCCTGCCTCGAGAGTAGAGGCAAGGGGAGACCTTTATTGGCTACTAGGACTGCTTTATAGATGAGCAGGGGTCATTTCCTGCAGGAGCGCACAGGAGCGGAGCTCCGGCAGTAAAGAGCCCAGGGGGTGGGCACATGCAACAAGCCCTGCCCCCTGCTCCCAGCAGCCCTCAGTCAGAGCAGGAAGCAGCCAGGTAAGCTGCAGAGCTCCCCCCGCCCCCCTGGTCCAAAACAGTCCAGTGGCACCTTTAAGACCAAGTTTTATTCAGGTACAAGCTCTCCCTCCTCTGCCAGGACAGATCTGCACATTCCCCCCCCCCCCACACCATAGCTAGCAATCCAAAACAGTCCAGTGGAGCCTGAGCGGTGGGTGTTGCCTTCTGACACACTTCTGGTGATGTCAGGGGGTGTGGCATATGCAAACAAGTTATGCTAATGAGTTATGCTAATGAGCTCCTGCACCTCTTTTTCTACAAAATGACCCCTGCAGATGAGGAATATAAAATATAGCCCCCCCCCCCCAATCTGAGAGTAGTTTCTGTTTCACTCCTCCCCTGCAGGCAGAAATGGCTGAAAAAGGCTGTTCCCAAGAGAGGGAAAGCTTCTTTGGGGATCTCATTATGCCTAGACTTTCAGTCTTCCTGTCTTCACAGGAATTAGTGGATCCACTGAACCAGGAAAGCAGAGAGTCAGACAAAACTGAACTTATGAACTGGTTCAGGGGTGAAATTAAAAGAGAGTTTAAAGAAATGCTTAGAGAAACCTTTCAATGTGACACACCCCAGCAATCTCTCATAGAGAGGTAGGGCTTCCAAGAGGGCCAGGCCTAGCCAGGAAGATGATTCATCTAGTTCCTCTAGGCCCCCGCACAGAGATAAGCAAAAGAAACACAAGCCCTCCCCTAGGGAATGCAGCCCCCGGATGGAAAACAGAGAGGCAGAGGCAGAGTAATCCATCTCTTCCTCAGAAAGAGAGAAAGGAAAACTATTAGAAGAAGAGGAGGAAGTGATGCCCTCAGTCCAATCCAGGCTCTTCCCTCAAGAGCTATACTCTCACCTTCTACCCAAGGTCTTAAGAACTCTAGATCTTACGTCTAAGTTTAAAGAGGAGGCAGAGCAGGAGTCAGAATTCCAGAGGGGTGCTTCCAGTCTCTCAGCCAGGGTTGCCTCTCCCAGCTTCTTTTTATAATATAATGAATGCGGAGTGGGAAGAACCTGCTAAACCCAAGGCTAATCATCACCTTTTTTCCAAGTTCTACTCCTTGATGCCAGAAGCCACCAGTAACCAGTCTGTCTTCCAACTCTGTTTTACCCATGGAGGCAGACGGGATGTCGAAGGATCACACAGACAGAAGAGTGGAACAGGCACCGTGTAAGGGCTTTGAAGCCTCTGCCTCTTTGATCAAGGCCTCCACAGCAGGATCGCTGTTCGCCAAGGCAGCTTATGACTGGGCTCAAAACCTGGCCTCAGCAGACAGTGACGTACCTAAAGAATTTAAAGATGAACTAAAGAAGATTGCACTTGCATTAGCTTTCGCAGCAAATGCTACCCTGGATGCACTTCAGCTGTCCGCCAGGGTACTGGCGTGTAGCATGACAGCACGAAGAAACATCTGGCTCCACCACTAGGATGTAGATTCCTCAGTACAAGCGAAGGTAGCAGCAGTCCCCTTTAAAGGAGGGAGCCTATTTGGAGAGGGCCTTGACAGATACCTAATTGAGGACAGGGACAAGAAAAAAGTCCTTCCGTCAAAAAAGAGAGATGTCAAATCCAGGAAGCGGTTTCAGCCCTTTCGAGATCAAAAGAGAGGACAGAAACCTTTCTATTCTAGACCGTTTAAAGGCAAGTGGCAACCTAGACAACACAA